GCTAAAACAAATTAAGACAGTTACCTTTAATTTCTTCATTTCCCTCTTTAATGCCTATTGAGTTATTTAAACTGCACCTTGATTAATATTACATCTTTTTTTTTTTTTTAAACTGCATAATCCTTAACATTTTTCTCCAAGTGAAAATAAAAGCAGCAGTGGATGTTGTGCCGTGTCATTGTCATTGTCACTGTCGTCTGGAGGCAAGGACATGGAAGAGAGCAAATTTTAATTGATGACGATTTCATTAAAATTTCAGCCAGCCGCGGCGGCAATGCTTAAAATCTACATCCTGCACACCCAGCGTGGGGCAATAAAAATGCAAACAAGCGGCGCGTGGGCGATGTCCTTGCTCCAGGACATGATGAAGAAGATGATGTCGGGTTAACTCGCCCAGCGAAGCGTGAAGGATGCAAAAAGTTAATCGCTCAGGCGGACGGCCCGGCACTTTGTATCTGGCCAGATGTGTTAATGTTTCTCGATCCCATGCCCAAAACGGGGGTATTTTTTATTGCCCTGTCCAGGACATTCAGCATCCTGCGGGATGTGTGTTTGCGCACTAAGTAAATTGCGTAAATTTATGGCTGCGTAAATTGTTTAATGACTCAACAGTCTATTTATCCAGACGAAGTCATGCACCGACATGGCCTAATGGCCATGTTGAGGTTGAGTTTGAATCCGAGGCGTCCGGGATTTGGAACCCAGTTCAGGGGTGTCAAGTGGAAAGGGAGGTGACCAGGATACAAGTGGAGGTGGTGCAATGAACTTGTTAAAAGTTTCATTCACATTCATTTAAAATCTATTGGCATATCCTAAATTAAGGCTTTAAATTCTTAAGTGACTATATCTAATCCAAATATCTAGATATCCTGAATAAAATGTAATTCAAAGGGTACTTTTTTATTTGACCATCAAATTCAAATGTGTTTTTGTTATATTTATACATATATACTTTTTAATTTGACCATAAATTTCAAATGTGTTTTTGTTATATTTGTTTTTTATTTTAGTGCTTTGTTTTTCATCCAAACTTAACTTGGGAATGGATTTCGTTAAATTGTCTTCACTTAATCTTTCCTCAAATGAACCACTTTCGGGACCGCTGACATGTCAGCAATTCAGAAGACGATTTCTTATCCAAGATGAGGGATCTGCCCCGCTGGCTGGGAGAGCAATTAAGCAGGAATTAAACATGTACATAAACTGCTGGCAACGCCCCAGAGATCGAGGACTGGGATGAGCAAGGACGAACGAGGATGGCAGCCATCACCTTGTGGGGTTGGCTGTCCGAGTCCGTTTCCAAATCGCTGACTTGTCGCACCCAGTCACAAACCGGAGGACGATAAACGGCGCTGATAGCACAGCATTTATCAAGGAGCCGGGAACAAGCTCAATTGAGTTTCAAATTGATGTCACCATTATCGGGAACTGTCATCTAAGAACTCCGTTGGGGTGACGGCGACATGAGGGATGGGCAAAACAACAACAAGAAGGAGGAGGGGCTGGATGATATGTATCCCGTATTTATTTATAATTTTTTCATCATTTATCAGCGGGACAACTTTCTCACAAGCCCGCAATTGCATATTTATGTAGATGTGCAATGTGCAATTTTAGTTTGCGCTTCGGTTTAAGTGCTCATAAATAAAAATCCCCGCAAAAATCCACCCCGGAAAAATCGGAATGGGGAGGGGGAAGGAAAACTCCACCCCCGGGAAACTGTCAAAAAGGCAACGGAAAGTTTGTAAACAAAACTAATGCCGACATGGGTGTTGATAAAGTTCTCCCAACTTGTGGCACCCCCATCCACATTCGGCTTTATTGAATTGCCCTACACGCTTGATTGCCCGCTAAACGGATGAGGAGCGGGGGGTTTCCCCGGACTTTCCCGGATTTTCCCGGGGGGTGGAGGTGATTTCGGTCCATTCGATTCGTGTGTGTCATGTGGATTCGTCATACCAAAAAGCGCAAAATATTATCCAGGCCTGACTTTTGTTCTGGTTTCGTTCGCAAAAACATTCACAAAGGGTGCAGGACTCGGAGCTCAGGATGCAAGCCATGAAAAAGGACGAGGGGTTTCGATGCGACTCCATTTGCCATTTGCCAGCTCGCTTCAATGGAATTGTGACTTGTGTCTAATGGACTATCCTTTGTCATCCGCCAACTTGCAACCTAATGGCATCGGGAAACTAAAGCAGTTGCACAAACATTCAGCATCCGAGGAGCAGTTTTCCCATTGTCCTCGCACTTCTGGTCGGGGGATTTAACTATGGAAATTTAACAATTCGTTCAATTGCAGATGGAACGATATTTAATAGATGGAAGAAGGGATTCTTCATAATAGCCTTTAAACTTAAATCTGCTCAAATACAAATAAGAGTAAAGTAATGAAAAGGTTTTATACACTTAAAGATCGAACGTTATTTTTATACCCTTGCAGAGCAAAAAAAAATTTCATACAAGTGGGACAACTATATCATATAGCTGCCATAGGAAAGAGTCTGTATAGAGTTAACGGAAATAAAATGAGAACAGCGTTGTTTTTCATCAGACAATCATGATTTTTAAAAATCGGGCGACTATATCATATAGCTGTCATATAAAATTCGTCGAAAATATGGAAAATAAATAGAAAAATCGTCATAGATTCGATGTTGTTTAGTCTTTAAGTATTTTGTTTGACATATTTTATGACAAGGGTATATAAGCTTCGGCTTGCCGAAGCTAGCTTCCTTATCACCGTTGTGCAAGCTATCAGAAAATTAAAGATATGTGTCTAAAAACAGGGATAAAAAATTTACAAACTTAAACGTAGTTCTTTAAAGAAATTAGTCAGAAACATTAAGAGAAAATTGCTAAAGTTGTGCGTTATGGAAAGTGCACCTTTGTGTAAACCACTGAAAAATTAGATTTATAATCTAACATAAGTAAAATTCAAACATTAAATCAAAAAATCGAATACTAAATCAAAAATTTAATGGCAGTTTTCTAAGTAACAACCAAAAATTGTTCAAGGTAATTTTGAAATTTAATAGAATCGCAATAGTTTTTAGGTTTAGAAGCAAGTTGCTTTTTTTTGTTAACCAGTTTTGATAACCGACAAAACCGATTTATCATTCGAACATTAAAACTAAATTTTCTAATTGTAATCAGAAAAGTCCGTATTAATTTAATTTTATTGGCTTTAGCTTTGTTCGGGTCATTAGCAAATTACGAGGCAAAATTCAATTTAAGGATTAGCAACTAAGTTCGTAATCCAGTGACGGCCAATTTGCTTTCTTCGGCAAACCGAGGAAAAAAAGAAATCTGCCCAGATCGGATGACAGTTATGGAAATTTATGATTCATTGAGAGGCATTCGGGTAGCTGGCGGGGATTGCTTGTAGCAATGTAATCCATTTGTTTGCGCAACATTTGTCACGCTGCCACTGCTCCTCCTCGCCAGGATATTCAGAACATGGGCGGTGGATTTGTCAACATATATCGCTCTGATATATCCAGTCAGATCCACCCCGCCACATCGTAACTACTTTGACTTTGATTTTATATCCCCTTTTTTCGCAAATGTTTGGCAAATGTTGCAAACTGTCGTTCGTTTTCTGATTGAAGGAGGGAACGGGAATGAGGACATTTGGAAGGGGATTTATGAATTTCATTTACTAATGGATTGTGGTGAGCTCTGAAATTCCACAGATGTGTAAATATGCAATATGGATTATTAAAGTTTTGCCATCCTTTTTAAATTGCTACTATATTGATCTAATTCTGGGGTAAGCGAAGTGATCCGGATGGTTAAATGGATTGGAAAGTATAAATTACTTTTAAGGGTCTTAAGATTTAAGTGTTTTGTGTTTAAGTAAAATTTAAGCAAACTTAACTAAATATTTGAAATTGAAATAAGAATAGAATAAAAAAGAATCCATTAAAATATTTATTTGAAAACAAGATTATTCTTACGATATTGATTATGATTATGTATTGATTTGTTTGTGTATCTTGCTAAGCTCGAAACTTGAATTATAAAGTTAACATTCTAAAAATTAATTTTACAAGGCTTCTAAACCCGAAACTATTGTATTATTGAATAGTATAATGACAAGGCTGTTTTTACCAACAATATATGAATCATGGTTTAATAAAGGTTTCACAACCTAACTACTTTTATCTACAGCAAAACTTTCTCCTGACTTTATTTATAATAGTAACACTTGCAATTCGATAGTTCGACGGGTACGAATTCTGTTTTTATAGAACTTAAACTTAAATTGAATTTAGTTTGCTTACATTCAGACTTAACTGTAAACTAAGTTTTGTTTCAGTGCATCGTTCTCATCCCTGCTGGGAAAACCCTCACAGAACGAAACCATTTTCTCTGTTTGCGAGACTCGTGCCGATTGGCTGTTATAAAAAGTTAGTAGCCGTTCAAGACCCCCTCCCAAACCTCTTTCCTACTGGTCCTGCTCCTGCGCATTGAAAGTACATAGGACTTGAAATACATAGTCAGAGCTACCATCCAACCACACACCAGAGCTACCAGCATAAAAACCCCACAAAACCCCTTCCCCAACTCCAAAGTGGATTTATAACATGGGCCACGACTGCCGTTGGCTTCTGTCCATTTATCTTTGGCTGGGTATTCCTGGGATTTTCCTATTTTTACCGCTGGGCTGGGAACCCGAACCACAAAGAACATGCCCACAATGCCACCAATGGCAGTAACATTTTATGGCAAAAGTTCACCAGAACCCAACTCGTCCCCCAAACTCCTCGCATGTGGCGACCAAGTGGCGCCATTTTTGCCGCATTGTCATCTGTGGAAGAATGGGGCTGGACAACTGACAGCGATTCTAGTTTATGCTTACGCAGACTTTTCAAGAAATAAAGTTTTTCCTCTGTCGATATCAGCGAAAATAGTTTCGGATGCGGGGGAGTATAAATATAAAATGAAAAAGCACACTCAAGCGATAAAGTTGGACAGTTAAAGATAGACTTTTGTGACGATTTTCTATAAATTGATTTTTATTTTCAGTTTAAACATTCTATCGAGACTGGAATGGACAACATATATAAAAACACACTTCACTTCAATTGTTTTATAATTTATCAGTATTTATATTAAGATTATTCAGTAGAAAACTTCCTTGCATCGCACCAGTGGCTTGCGAACAAAACAAAAACTTAGTGAGACAGTTCTTCATAATTATTACATAAATTCACTTTCAGGCTAACTAACAAAAAGCAAGTGAAAATGAAAAGAAAGATTTATGTTGCCAATTCAGTTTTCAAGAGCCGAGCCCACAGGACTCCATCAACTCTAAATTATACAGAATATTATAGAAATTAGCTACGTTTACGGAATTTTCATACATTTATAGGTTTTACGATTTTTATAATTTTTTTCCTTTTTTGAGGATTGATATTCCTTCTTTTTATAGAAATGCCTGCACACATGATATGCAGAGTTGAGAATGGAGTGAGACTTTCGACTTGACTTGCTAAACAATTAAAAAACATCCTCTGCTGTCTATTTCTAAAGGGAAGTTTGTCTTACGGCTTCTTCGACGATTTCTTCATTTTGTATTGCGTGGCATTGTCATGAGGCTTAAACATTGTTCAAATATCTTGTTCTTTCTTCGATTAAGTAACGACTTGAATCCGGATCTGGGACCTGACCGATTAAACAGACTTCTATATAAAAGCAAACAGTTACATGTAATGGTAGAGCATGCTACGCAGAAGTCTTAAATCTTTCATTTAAACTAAATTTAGTTGCTGCCTAGTCAGGTGTGCGAATGTGTTTCCTCGTGTTTTGTGTGGGTGTATGCTTGTGTGTTTGTTACTCGTTAAGATCCCAATGTGTCGCGATTTCGCCTAGTAGAACTTTTTCGCTTGTGCTTCGCTGCGGTTTCTGCAATAAAAAGTTTTTTAAATATATGAAATCAAAAAATGTTATTGTAAAAAAATAAATTCTCACTTGAAAACGTTGTAGATGAAGACTAGCAGCAATTGGACAACAGTTACGCTTAGGAACAATGTGACTCCAACACAGTTGCCCGTGGGACAGTTGGCCACCTGCGCTCCTGCCTGTGGCGCTCCCAATCTGTAACGTACAAAAATATTAAATAACACGTAATCAAAGTTGAAACTACTCCAAATGATTTATAAACTATAATAAAAGTCTTATTAAAACTGATAGTTAAATGGTATTCAGAATGAGAAAAAATTGCTATTATTTTCTTTACTCCTAAAACAAAATTTAAAAGGTTAGCTTTAAAGTTTAAACACAGGTCATAAAATTCTAACTGATAACGATCAACGAATAAATCGAGATCAAGTCCAGGCCTAGACATGTTAATTGAATAAAAATGCTGACTTAAAAGACAACAGGTTTCAGCAATCAAGAATAAACCCCAAGCTTAATTCTCACCTCTGGCCCACATGGGTGATGCCCTGTTTGACCTGGTTCATTCCATCGCGCATCTCGGCGATGAGCGTTTGCACATCATAGCCGGTTGACTGGATTTGTGCTGTAGGCGCGTGCTTCTGATTCGTTTGAATGTTATCAGTGCGCACATTGATATCGCCGACCAGTTGCCGTATCTCGCGGATGGCGCTGAGCAGCACATTCTGGTTGGTGAGCAGAAGATCGACATCAGTCCTGCTGACGGCGCCAACGGGCAGTTGTTGCTGTTGTGCTCCACCGGCAGCTGGTGGAGCTGGAAGAGCCTGTCCAGCATTGCGCGACACCAGCGAGAGCGTGGTCTCCTGGCGGCCAATAATCTCGTCCACCTTGCGGGAAAGCTCACGCAAATGATCAGCAATCTGGCTCTGACCCTGCCAGATCTGACGCAACTCACGCTGGTTCTCCGATTCGTAGAACTCTTCCCAGTCCTCGTCGTCTTTGTGCTGTGGGATTATGTGATTATTGATTATCAGTATTTGCAGATAAGACATCTTTATCAGCTGTTTGCGTGGCACTCACCTCGTCGGGATGCTCCTTCTTGTAGTCCTGCTTCTGCTTCTCTAGCTTCTCTTGGTACTCCTTGTACTCTTGCGTCAGCTTTTCCTGGTTGTCCACCTTAGGCTGCTCCTGCGCCTGTCCGGCGGCATGCAGCGAGGTGGTCAGGAAGTGGAACACATCGTGGTCATCGGCCAGACCGCCAGTGGCAGCCGAAATGCCAAAGTAACCGTTCTTGGGCAGATTCACGTTATCCGCCCGGAGACACAGCTCGTAGTCATCGTTGTTGTTGGTCATTCCGTTGTGGATAAGCACCGTAAGTACATTGTTGTAGTACTCGATGCGCGCCCTCGTTGGGAATGGCTTATTACGGAAATCCCTTAGGCAACCGCTCAGGAGCTGGGTGGTTCCATCGTTGGCGTGGTCGTAGAACTTGGTGCCATCGTTGAGCACAGCACTGATGTAGGGATTGTTGTGCTTGTTGTCGTTGTCGAAGGAATCGAACATGATGGCCAGACCGTTCCAGCGGTCCGAGGATCCAAACACTGGGCCATTGTAGTCACCCTTCTCGGTGGTGTACCAGAAAGCCAGACCATCGGCTCCGATCCGGCCACGTCCCGTCACCCGGAACACAATCTCCACGTCCCACCAGTCGAAGTTCGTCTGCGATTTCGTCCAGATGGCACCCTTTTGCGAGCGGAGCGATGGCGCCACGCGCACACTTTCCGAACTGGCGATGGCATCTGGAATGAGGAGCAACAAGTTGTGGCTATAGAAACACCCGGACTGATACCTCAAATCGAAATCCAAACAAAGTGCCTGCGTGTACACTTGGCCGCCGTGCGCCGTCTCGCTCGCACTCACAGCCGCAGAGCGTTAGCGAGTGGGCCAAAACAACTGACGTGGAGCTCGTACTCACTTCCCCCGTACTCCCAAAACGGTACGGTTCCGTCTTTCTGGGCCAAATACGGCGGCTTAAACGAGTACTTGTACTCGAAACGACGGTGTACTCCCACCGCGCCAGGACTCAGGTTGCCGGTCGCCTCGGAGCTGGGATTCCACGCCAGGAAGCACAAAATGGCCAGGAATGTGGGCCGCATCTTTGCAATTATGTTGACAACTAGTGGTGGTGGGACGTCGATTGCGCAGCTGGCGATATCGATAGCCAGCCGGCACCGTTTTTTAGTACGATACCAGCTAGGTGTACTAAAGTATGTGACAAATACCTTTCTTAAATAACATTTAAAATATTTAAGTGACAAATACATGTAGTTTGTTAAGCCACTAGCAAATTTAATGAACAATTAAAAACAAAATGAATTAAATTAATTTCTCTATCTGTATCCTACCTTATCCGTTTTTGATTGTTTGTCCATATTTACGTATTTTATAAAAAACAACCGCTATACTAAATATAGAAAACTCTATCGACCATGTGAGGAATATCATTGATATCGATAACCACTGCTGCCCGCCAAATTCAAAAATTCTCGCTATCTCTATATTTTTTTATGACGTTGAGGTGGAAAAACATTTATTTTGAAAATTTAAAAAGTGTTACCTTCCGTTACAAAATAAACAAAACTTTAGCAAAATACGCGCCATTTGCATGTGCTTATCTACATACATGTTTATCAATACATTATTGTAAAATTATTCGTTAGTTTCAATTGCCTTTTGCGTGATATCACCAAAGTAGTATTACATCCATTTCTTCAAAGTTCCTTTAGCACAGTGTGTTTATATGTTTACTTCTTTATTTTCTGTTTTTGGTTTTCTGCTTAAGTTGTCGTAGAGCTTACAGCTAGAATTAATATAGGTTTTACTGCCTCAGTAGCACATAGTGTGGGCTTTATAAAATATTATTAGTGGCTCAGTTTAAGTGATAGCTTCGTGTGCAGATCGGTGTGTGTGGGATAGTCATTGAGGGCGATCGTGCCGCAATTCGCTCCATTTTACAAATGTTAGTTACTCATTTTGAATCACAATCACTTTCGTGTTAGTTGTGTGCGCGATGATAGATTTGAAATAAATCAGGAACCAAAGAAACTCTTTTGTTTTAGCTTTGTTTATTACAAAATCATAATTAAACGAAGGCGCTACGGGGTAGCGAATAACTAAATTATGCATGAGCGTGCAGAGTAATAATCTTTCAATTCATTACAAATACGATAATAAATTAAGCTTAAATGGTTTTGAATGTTTCCTTAAGTGGAAATTATATGCGTTGAAGTCATTAAGTACTGTCAGAAATCATAACAGTGGACATCTCTTAATTCTGGGTTTAGAATGTTAAACTCGCATAAAGTAAACGTGCGCACCCTAGACTACAAAATACAAAAACTATATGTACGTTTACATATTCTACAATATATATATATATATATATATATATCGTAATTGTTAGGTTCTGCTTTCAGTGTATAAGATCAGTAATTAATGGGTTTCAGGATCCAGGTCCACCCATTTTCTGTTATTTTTTCTTTCGTGTGTCGTTTTAGAACAACATTTTCGGCATGCTTTTCAATTGGTTTCTTCTAAATTCAAGATCACTTTATAACCTAAGCAATTTCAAGACATCTTACATTTAATCGGCTGTGAAATCGATTCGGACGCATTTCAGTAGCAAAATTAGGAACGAATATAAAACGAAAGGTTGAACTGCGTCGCTTGTGTGGGTGGTTGTGAGGTTGTGTGTTTCATAAACTGGATAACAAATGCGTTTGATAAGCGCCAACCGGCTGTGTCTGTGGTTTTGTGTAACTTCATAGACTAAGGTAAACAACAATCTAATCAAATTATACAAAAAATAATAATTCAAGAGGTCCTATAGGCCTGGCGGAAAAATGCAGTTAATACACAAGATTCGCTGCAATTCACATAATACGCTACAAGATTCGCTGCGGTTGGTTACAATTTCAGTTATGTGATTAATGCACGCGCTGGTGAGATGCGGTTCCCGACGTGCCAAACACGCTCATCAGATCGCCCTCGTAAAGGGCAATCACTAGCATTATCCCCACTCCGCTCAGCATGCCGAGTATCTGAAGCAGGAACTGTCCCAAAGATTTGTGCGAGGCAGAGATCTCGGGCATCTAAAGAAACATAATAAATGAATAACAGAAACGACGAAAGAGTCAGCTTTACCACTCACCATATCGACTAACGCAATGTATATGAAGAGACCCGCTGCCACGGCAAACATCCACTGAGCAACATCCTGCGACTGGCCAAAGGCAATGCCAAAGATCATGCCAATGAAACTCAGGACTCCCGTCAACAGGTTGTAGTAGACGGCCGACTTCACTGACATGCCGGCTTTCATCAAAATGGCAAAATCGCCCAGCTCGTGCGGCAGTTCGTGACAGAAGACAGCCAGCGAAGTGGAGAATCCGCCGGCAATGTTTTCCGCAAAGGCTGCTCCGATGGCCATGCCATCCGTAAAATTGTGCAGCCCATCGCCCATGATGATCATCCAGGCCACGGCGCTCAGCGTTTCAGGCGGCGAGTGGACGTGTCCATGACGATGGCTGTGGCCGTGATGCGAGGACTCATGCTCCCGCAGAATCACGGTCACATGATCGTTACGGCTGTCCTTATCCTTCGCACTGTTCGAGGCGTACACCGCATTTCCATCCAGATCGGTTACAATGGTGTTGTTGTCCATGCCCTCGTCTTTCTGCTGGTGGCTATTGTGCTTGTGGTTATGATTATGGTGGTTCATCTCCACGCAATTCGTGTGCAGCGTTGAGAGCAGCGATTCGGCAGCAGCGGCCATGTCGCTGGACCCGTCGTGATCGCCCACACCGTTGCGTACTTCCGACGCGGAAGCAGCATCTCCGCCAGCGCCCGCCGCTGCCGAGTTTACTCCATCGCCCGGCAGATGCATCCACTCGCTCTGCTTGTTGTTCATGGTGATCTCATCGTAGCAGTACGGATACGAGCTGTACTTCTGCTTGCAGATCTTGTCCCCGGCCACTGAGTTGTTCACCGACGAGTCGGGATCCCGCATCACCTTCGCCCGCGACGGCTTCTTTGTCTCCTTCTTCTCCACGCTCTTGCGCCACTCGGAGATCATTGTGAGCGCATGCTCCGTGACGTAGAAAAATATAATGCCGGCAAGGCAGCCAAGCCCCTTCATAATCATGCCACGTTCATCCTGGCCTGCCAGGGACTATCAATTGGAAATTTTACATTAGTCACGGCTTAGAAGAAAAAGATCCGATAAAGTTATCAGCTTTACTCACATGAGGCATCAAGTGCAGCAGGGCATCGCCAGTCATCGTACCCACGGCCAGCGACACCAGATACTGGATGATGTACTTGTAGTACCGCGAACCCATAAACGGTATGATGGCCACTCCCACCAAACCAAGGATGCCGCAGGCAAACACAGAGATAAAGGCATAGATCCACACTGAAAAGTAAAATTTACTTTAGTCAAAAGGAATAAGAAACGAAGAGAACTTAAACCTACCGTAGAAGATATCCTTGTCCTTTTCCTCCTCCAGCAGCTTTTCCGAACTGTCGATTTCGGTCAAGACTTCGGACTCTATGCATCCGCCGCTCTGGGCTTTCAGCTCATAAAGGAGAATCGGACATAGGTGAAGCAAGTCCTTTTCACTTAGCGTAAAGTTTTTAACCCCCTCGCTTAGCGTATGTATTTGTGGAGCACATATGACGTTGGAACTATTCTGGTTAAGTGTACAGTTGGTCACCTGAAGCTTTTTGTGATCATCCTCCTCGTCATGATTGTGATGATGATCGTGAGGCTGGACATGATGCACTAGGCGACTAGCGGCCACACACTGTAAAAGAAACAATAGTTACTTGATTTATGTAACAATGAAAGGAAGATAAGGGGACCACTCACCGTGTCTTCACTTGCCCCACTGGCCAACGAGTGGAGGCTCAGCTGGTGGAGCAGGCCATCGAATCCGCTGCTGTTCATCAGCTCGTTCTGGACCATCAGCTTTTCGAGATAGTACTGGGTGATCTGCGGGAGACGGGACTCGGAGCTGTGGCCATGGTCGTGGCCGGAGTGCCGCTTTTGTCTCCTCGATGGCGGGCTGGTGCTGTAATTGGGGGTGTCGTCGTCGCCAGAAACGGAGCGCTGCTGTCGCCGATCGGTGGTTTCGCTGGAGGGACTGAGGTTCGTGTAGACGCGGGCGTTGAGCTGCTCCTGGCTCTGGCTCATTGCCAGCGCCGGACTTAGCAGACTCTCGATGTGATCCTGGCAGTGGAGGCGGTGTGCGCAGAGCAGGCACACCACACAAACAGCCATAATATGTCGCGCCATTGTTGTGGCTTGACTTGCTCTTTCGTACTTCCACTCCTAGGACTTAAGCTACTGACTCTGATACTCGATTCGGTTTAATGCCCAGCCAGATCTGCCACGATCATTATATACAGTCGCCGATCAGTCAGACAGTCGTCGGTTCGAGCGCTTATTTTGATCTGGAATTGAATGGAAAAGTCGGTTAGAGATTAGCCAAAAACGAAAACACAAGTACAGCAAACCCGCACACAAAATTCTATCTTTTATGGGGTTCTACTGTCAACCCCTTGTTCCCATCCCACACTCATTATGGCCGTACCGATCCGAAACGATCGGAGGCACTTACAAAAGCCATTCTGCCTGCCCATTGCATAACCAAAAAAGTCAGTCAACCGAAGCGGAAGTTCAAGATCGTTCGTTGGTGGATCGACACCTCCAAATATGGATCAGCGAGCAGCCCAAACCGCCAACTGGTTTCAGGTGCCCCAAGATCACCATAAATACGATGGGACTTGCTGCATTTGTTGTGTGTGGTTAACAAAGAGTTGCTCTTATATGGCAATAGGGATATAGATCATTTCATTCTTAAAAGCGTTTGTATTTTTTTTTAGCATTGCATTAAATAAATTAGTTGAAAAGGGAATTTAATTTAATAATTCATGTAAAGAAAAATATTCCAAAAGCACAAAAACCTTTAATTTAATCACAATTTAACACTATTTTTCTATTATCTGGCACATTTAAATTCTTACAATAATCATCATTATTGCAAAAGTCACTCCTGATAGAGAGAATTTTCAAGTGTTCAGACTTTTATCACTTTAAAAAATCTACTAAATTCACTTTGCCTTAACATTCCAAATTCTTATCGAAGCGTTTGCTTCTCGAATCACAAACTTGCAATCACATATTTCTTTGAGTCTTTTTTACTCTTTTCCAACTGTTTTCTTCCTTAGCTATTTGGTAAATACTTTGATTAAACCCTCCACAAAAGATGTCAAGTTGTAACAGTCGCATAACGATAGACCATTGATGCTTACTAACTACAGCTTATCAGCCAACTGGTTTTAGCTCCTAGTCGGGAGCCAAAATGTTCGATGCCATGCGGTTTCTTCGGTGAGCAAACTACGAGTGGCACGCGCCAAAAAATAATCTTCCAGTCGGGACTCGTAATTTCGCCCAACTAACTAACTGAAAATTAGATTGTTATTGTTGTGACTGTAACAACTTGTTGTTGTAGCTGTGTTTTTCTATGTGTGTGGGACTCAGACAATTTTGCAATTGCGCATTAATGCCACAACTTAGGCAGTTAGTTCAACGGTCCTGCATTGAAATCCAATTTATTGATAAAACTTTGGCGAAAATTTACGACACAGGTGAGAAGTGGGGGAGCAGCAGATACACGTGGGTGGTGGTGGTGTTTTTTATTTGCTGGTTATCGACTTAATAAAAGCGAAAGCCAAAACACTATAGGTTATAATGGAAACGTCATTGTTGTTGCATAAAATCGGAGGGGGTGGTTGGGACTCAAGGTCGCAGGAAGTGGGCGGGCTGTCATTGCACCCGCGGCATTTACAAGGACACACAAATCGCCTTGGCAAGGGGTTAAGTGTTAAAGGTTGAGGTTGAAGTTCGCACTTGTTGAGGAAATTAACTGCCAAACTGCCAGAGTAACGATTCGCCAGGCAGAAACTTAATTTCAGGGCAATAAAAATCAATCAACGAGACAAATTATTTGCATACAAATTCCCCAAATCAGATCAGACACAATTCATCGGCAAAAATTCCCAATCAATCCGGCAAACTCAGTCAATTGGTCAAGTGCTGCCGCCATTGACTGAATGTTTCGTTTTTATTTTGTTTTTGTTTTTTACTACATCTGTAATCAAGCCTCATTTAAATTCAGTTCGCGTGATTTTAATGAAACCACTGGGAGAAAAATGTTAAACGAGTTCGTTTTTATGATAGCTTCAATGCTGTATATTTTTGGAGAGCAGGGTCATCGATTCAATTCACTTTCTTTTGCCCCACACATTGATAAAAAACTTATTTGGAAATGATAAAAATAACTTGCATGATCGTACCGAAAAGAACTTTTTAAGGAGACTCCAAACCGAACCGATCCGCGATCCGAACGCTTTGCAACTGAGCGGCGCGCGTCGCTTGCGGTTCGATTTATAAGCCAGTTTCATTGTTGGCTAATTGAGCTGAGAGTGTGTGTGTGTGTGTATGACGCGGGACCACATTAAAGCATACCCACATCGAAGGCGTACTAACTTAACGGGGCGTGGCTGATTTCGGACCGTGGCTAACAGCAAAGGGAAGACCAGAGCACAACGATTCCAGTTGAAATTTGTTCTTAAGACCATGAGGATTGAAGCTACATTAACTATTGGACCCTTAAAAACTAATACATTTTAAATTAAAGAAATATAATTTATTTAAAACTTTTCTATAAAAAAAAAACATTTTATTACCATATACATAAATAATATATACATGAGAAATATATATTTTTTTAACTTTAACAAATTTTGACATTCTAGCAGCCAATTCTTTCGATTCAAACGCTGAAAGCAGCTGCGATAAATCGCACGTTTTTTTATTGGTGGACCATGACAAGCGTTCACTGTATATATATTTTTTCTATTCCCTTTTCTTGTACATTTACTTTTTGCTGACTCAATTTGAGTTCGCATAACATCTCCATATGAAAAACTGTATGTATTGAATTTTATACCGAGGTCTCGTGGTAAGGGTTCAGAAATTCAGAAAGTCACTGAACTCGCTGCTGACTCAATTTGATTCAACATCGCATAATATCTCCAATAAATTTTTAGCATTCTAATATTGCTGAGTCGTGAAAACCCCTTACGGTATCTAATTTCTTTAGACTGAAATTCAAATATGTACTTTTAGTAAACATCAATCTTTAGAGCTTTGAAAACTAGCGACTCACTTTTTGCATAAGATCTTTTGGCTGATTTTTCATAAAACAAGGGTGGGTTTATTTCGCAAATTGTGAAATTCCAACGTATGTATGTATGTTGGTATGCTCGCTATTGAGTCACCACACACTCAAATTTCACATAAGATCTCCATTTCATGTAGTCCGATTTCTTGGAACCCATTCCCCCTTTTCGGTTGGGTCTACAAAAATCCAATTTAGCTTGGCCCTGCCCATAAAAACTGAAATTTCGCAGGCGATCGCTCAAAGTACAAACGATAAATTGTTGATGAGTCAGTTCGAATTTCACATGATATCTCCACGTTTAAAAACTTGGCACTTCTGGCTGACACGGCACTATTAAATATCACATATGTATTCTCCATATAATGACCTAAAATTACGCAAAGCCGGCAAAAACCGTGGGGACTGAATCGTAAAACTTTTCACGATTTATATATGTACTAAACACTGACGCAATCTTCAGTTGTTAAGCCTGAAATTTCAACCAGACATCTACAGCCACAGTCGAGATACGCTCTCTACCTGCCAAGGAATTTATCTTTTATCTCGAACTCTCTGCCAACAAAATTCATACCTGAACCTCCAGGCAAGCAACCTGCAAATTGTGTACCTAAGAACCCAAACACACATATACAGTTCAGTATTATCTTTTTTTGCTTCTTCATTAAGCCAGTAAAGCTTGATGATGTGAAATTTCAGTCAACTCTTTGTTGGGGAGATATGAGTATGAAAAACCTCGGGTCATGTGACGGCCACATGAAAACGAAGTTCTGGACGGATAGAAGCACTTAAACCCCGACTTTGCAGAGGTCGATCACGTCGGAATCGGAATGGAACGTTACGGATCCACTCTGATAAAATCGAATCCGGACGGGACGAGGTTTTGACCTTGCCATGTTCGTCGCTGTCGACTGCTGAATTACGTGGACTGCCGGTTTAATATTCAACTAGTACCACAACTGACACATAACTGATGTTGAAGGGCTGCCCCCACAGCCGATAAATAATTCATCTGGGGGCATCGAAATGATCGTAGAGAATTGTTTGTTTTCCGTATAGAGTGTTTGGCTGCCCCAACTGATGGCGCCAGGTTGCAAGTCGCTTTAGATTGCATATTGCAAATATCACATTGCAAATTGCGCTGCCTCATGAATAATTGATTGGCGGCGGCGTGTGAGCAGCGGTGAAACGAAAAAGTGCTCGGCCGATAAGGATTCTTCTGCTGGCCACCGGCATTATCTATGATTCATGCACCCACCTACACTTGTGAAAAAAAACTATGTGGAAAGTAGCCAAAAGTGCGAAAGAAACACATGCTGATATATGGGTCATAGGCGATAACAGTGGCGGTTCCAAAAAGGGGACTTACGCATCCGGTTTGGGTTTAAAAATATAAAAGTGACGAAGAGGTGTTAAATTCTATTTTAAAGAAACCTTTTCATTTTATTATTTAAATTTAATATTGGCTTAATTGTTGTTTGTAGAAATTCAAAATCAATCAAACCGCCTTCTTTTCAATTAAACTAACTACATATGTACTAAATTTTTAAAAACATTAAATTCAAATATCGTTATATTCCGTTAATAACTCAGAAGACCAGGCATATTTTCTGGACTTTGTGAAAGCATGAAACAGAACTTGTTGAAATACTTGTTGACCTCCATATGCTGAGCCCCCTAGAACATTCTTTTTCCCCGCCTATGTATGATAAGCATTTGGGCCTGTGTGCTACTAATTCCCCCGATTTTGCGTAATTAGGCTCTGAAGATAGCGAATGGAAATGGCATTCGGAATTGCGCTGATTTATGTATAGAACATACTCATGACTAAAAGTATGCCGATCGAAAATAGCATAAAAACGTGCTGAATATTAGTGTAGTTACGTGTGCATCTGTGTGTGGTTGTGTATGTTTGTATGTAACTGAGCGGGTGTCAAAATCACACGCACATGGAAATCGCCTGCTATAAATAAATACGAGTGGGTGGTTGGGCGGTAGGTCGGGGGCCCGTCGAATGCATTTTCCATGCTCAGGAACTTAAACTAAGATTGATCAAGAAACTCTGTAATCAATATAGCGACTGCCACTACTCACCCGTGAATTTGCCGGACTGTTTAGCACATCAGAATTACACACGCACACAAACGCACGCGGGTGTATTTATCAATTCCTAGTTATTGCGGGATCGGAAGATAATGCTAGCTGATTCTGGGCCTGTAGCTATAGCCGATGCGGTGGGCGTGAGTTAAAGGCGGCGTCGAGATAACACCTAATGTCAATTACGTTGCAATAATTTCGATTTGAACACGGCAGAATCCGTCCGGATCGGCGACAATTTACACGGATGCACGGGGCCACCAACACCAACGCGGGCTCAATTACGCAAGGGGCGGACTAACTGTAAACATTTTCCGGACACGCTAAACATATGCCGCTGCCATCTCTCTTTCGCACACACCGCCAAACACAAAAAATCCGCAACTTTAACTATTTTTTTTATAACAATTATCGATAAACGGCGCTAGAGCAGAGTGACCGTTATAGCTTTATGCAAAAAATACTTTTTGGTATGTTTTTGTGGTGGATTAAGTTGATGTTTTTACTATCACCACTGGTTTTTCTACCATTGGTTTGCTGGTTTAAAATTCAGGGATTAAATAGCCTAGTATTAAACATTTTACAAAACTAGAGAAGGTTCTGTTCTTTTGAAAATAAAATTGATCAAAAGTCGACTTCGTTCAAGCCTGATTCATTTAATACTTTTGATGATATTGTTAAGAATTTTGCGAATGAAAAATGCCGTAAAAAGTCTTTTTAGTATAAAAATTCGAAAGTGCGTTTGTTTTTACTGTATACAGCTGAAATTTGAAACACTACTTATATTTTACTCTACTCTTTTACGCTGTATTAGATGACTAAGTTAAAATGGTGATAATAAATAAATAAAATGAATTGAAGACTTAATCTTATTACATAGTGTAAATAATTTCTGTTCGCTGAAGGTTCCCCACACATTGATCGGCTCTGGGGCCCCCAAATTCTTAATCCGGCCCTGACTATATATTTAATTTAACACCTAGCATGCATTTTAAATCACATCAATTTAGCAATCACATCAATTGCGGATTTCTAAGGGTTTACAAAAGTCTTTTAATTTTGCTACGCCAACATGAGCGAAACTCAGCATTTAACAGAAGGTAAGTAAGGCTAACGAAAATTGCAGTACAGTTTTAAAGCTCTATTAACATCCCAGGTTCCAAAAAGCCCATTTTTCCGGATGATGCGATCTTGAAAGTGTACTCGATGCGATTTTGTCCATTTTCACACCGTGTGCACTTGGTTCTGGAAGCCAAGAACCTGCCTCATCACACTATTTACATCAATGTGGACAAGAAACCCGAGTGGTTTCGCCAGGTGAGCAGCTCCCTGATGGTTCCGGCATTAGAGGTGGTCACCGAGCCGGGAAATCCAGTCATTATAGAATCGCTCATCATTTGCGACTACCTGGACGAAAAGTATCCGGAGGTACCGCTATATCCCGATGATCCTTTCAAAAAGGCAATGGATAAACTCCTGATCAAGAGCTTCACGCATTTTATCGAAACCTTCCATAACCTAGTCTTTAATCGGAACCCCACCAACTTGGGGCACACGGACTACTACGGCGGACTGGAGATCTATGAGAAGGAACTAAAGCAACGTGAAACCAACTTTTTTGGTGGTTCCACTCCAGGAATGCTGGACTATATGATTTGGCCCTGGTGCGAACGTTTTCCATCTTTAAAGTTCACAACGGGCAATAACTTTGAATTGAATCCGAAGCGATTTGCCTCATTGGTACGTAAAAGGTTTTTTAAAATTTTACTATGTATTTATAAAGTGATAATTTCCTATGACAGCTGAAGTGGCGCGACTTGATGCTCCAGAACAAGGCCGTTAAAAAGTTGTATTTGGATGGAAAAACCCATGGAGATTTCTTAGCTTCTCGTAACGCGCTTGCTCCCGATAACAATATGCTCTTGTAGTATAATAAAATCTTAATATTATAAAGTTTATTAATTTCTTTCTTTTCAGCAATAAAGCCAAGCGTGCTAAAAAGGAGTGAAGATATTTGGCGGTGCCATCGCAGGCCATTGATTTTAAATAAGATTATTGTGATTAAAAAAATAAAAAGTTTATGCTTTTAAATAATCGTAATGTGTAACTGTTTAAAAAATTAAAAATCTACCGCGCAGTAATCGCTGCAAGTATTCGATATATTCGCCGGTCCGGCGATTTCTCCATACATATATAAAGACAACCGATGCTCCATTCGTCGTCATTCGATTGCAAACATTTTTCCTACCAACATTTCTCGCCTCAGGAGTTATCTGCAAATTGTTAACAAAATGGCCCTGCCGCAAAAGCACTTCAAGAAGGGTAAGTGGAGTATGAAGCAGAGGGGGGCACTTCAAGGTCACCGGGTTAGTGACGAGGCAATAGATGGCCAATTGGTTCTATAGTTTTATCTACCCCATCAGCAGAGGCGTAAATTACCCGCAGATAGAGATTTAATTTGAGCACTAAACTTTCCGCTGACGTCACAAATCCCAACCATCAACAGGTTCGCCCAAACCGGAAATTCCCGAGGATGGAGTCCTGCGCTACTACTCGATGAGATTCTGCCCGTATTCCCAGCGTGTCGGCTTGGTCCTCGCCGCCAAGAAGATTCCCCATCATACGGTCTACATCGATCTCAGCGAGAAGCCGGATTGGTACATTGACTACAGTCCATTGGGCAAGGTTCCGGCGATCCAGTTGCCACAACTGCCAGGACAGCCTGCTTTGGTGGAATCCCTGGTGATTGCAGAATACCTGGATGAGAAATATCCCGGCGAGGGCCCGCTCTTTCCCAAGGATCCGCTGCAGAAGGCTCTCGACAAGATCCTCATCGAACGTTTGGCTCCCGCGGTCAGTGCCATTTACCCGGTGCTCTTCACCAAGAATCCACCCGGCGATGCCATCAAGAACTTTGAGACCGCTCTGGATGTCTTCGAGCAGGAGATCACCAAGCGAGGAACTCCCTACTTTGCCGGCGACAAGATCGGCATTGTGGACTACATGATCTGGCCCTGGTTCGAGCGATTCCCCGCTCTGAAGCTCACATTGGATGTCCCTTACGAGCTGAACAAGACTCGCTTCCAGAATCTGCTGAAGTGGCGCGATTTGGTGGCCGAGGATGAGGCGGTCAAGGCCACGACCCTGGATGCAAGGATTCATGCCAAGTTTATGCGCACGCGTCACGAGGCCAAACCCAACTATGATATTGCCTTCGAGCCCTTGTAAACAATGCCAGTTTTACCCTGTAGAACAGGATGTACTTAATCTTAGAATGTGAAACCGCTTAGCGAGAAACTATTAAACCCATTTAGTCAACTAAAAAATGTTATCTTTGCGTCGTCACATGGTCTTTGGGTAACTATAAACTCAGATCTTATCCATCTAATCACCTTATTTTCATATTACAGGTTCTGCCAAGCCAGATATTCCCGAAGATGGCAAGCTGCGTTTCTTCTCCATGGCTTTTTGCCCCTTCAGCCATCGGATTCGCCTCTTGCTGGCCGCCAAAAAGATTCCACATTACAATATCTACATAGACTTAATTGAAAGGCCGGAGTGGTTCAAGGACTACAGTCCGTTGGGCAAGGTACCTGCTCTTCAGCTTGCTGGAATAAAGGATCAACCTACGCTGGTAGAATCCCTCATCATAGCGGAGTACTTGGATGAACAGTATCCTGAACCACGACTGTTTCCCACGGATCCGCTCCAAAAAGCCCTGGACAAGATTCTCATCGAACGTTTTATTCCGGTGGTCAGTGCCGTTTATCCAGTGCTGACCTGCAACTCGAAAGCTCCGCCAGATGCTTTACAGAACTTTGAGAATGCATTGGATGTTTTTGAGGTGGAGTTGGCCAAAAGGGGTACTCCCTTTTTTGCTGGACAGAACATTGGTATTGTGGACTACATGCTTTGGCCCTGGTTCGAACGCTTTCCCAGCATGAAACTCAATACGGAGCAGAAATATGAACTGGATGCCAACAGGTTTGCAAATCTGGTATGTGAAAGTAACATTATAATGAAGAATATCTAATCCTTAAATGCACTTTAAATTTCAGCTGAAGTGGCGGGAATTGGTTGCTCAGAATTACGCTGTGCAAACCACTGCTTTGGATGTCCAGCTGCATGCCGAGTTCCAGAAGTCCAAGACCTTCGGAAATCCCCAATACGATATAGCCTTCAAGGCCAAGATCTAGAATGTCAACTCGTTTCGTCAAGATCACATCTACAAAACCGGTTATTGGGCCACTTTTTATTCATTCCAAGCTAACAATTCAAATAAACGAAGTGCATCAGGCCTCCTTAACCAGCAGATTGTAGTTGGGCTGACCCAGGCTGCGCGTGCGCAAAAACTCCGCTTGAACCTCGGCCTCCATGTAGAAGGCCATCACAGCCGGATCCCGTTTCATGCGCTCCAGCCAGAGAGTCTAACGTAGGATTTACCATTTAAATATGAGCATCTAGTGGCCAGGTAACCAACTCACCAGCTGCGGGAATCGCTTCTCATCATAGTTGTACTCCTCACCGCGCTGCAACTTTAGAAGCTCGAGACGCTCACACCAGGGCCAGATCATGTAGTCCAGGATGCCCGTCTGCTCGCCGCCAAAGAAGTCCGTGCCACGGCGACTCAACTCCTTTTCGTAGGTATCCAAGCCAGTCCAGAAGGGCTCCAGTTCCCCGCCATCGGAGGCCCTGAAGAAGGCACCCAGCACAGATCCAAATCGCTCAATCAGCAGCTTGTCCTGCACCTTCTTGAGCGGATCACGAGGATAGAGCGGTCGCAGTGGATACTGCTCGTCCAGATACTCGCAGATCAGCAGCGATTCCGTGAGTACCGGTGGACACGGCTCCCTTTACGATTTCCAGAGCCGGCACCTTCCCCTGCGGATTCTTGTCCAGCAACCACTCCGGTTTCTCTGTGAGATTTATGTAGATGCTGTGGTACGGGATCTGCTTGGCATCCAGCACCAGGTGCACGCGCTGGGCGAAGGGGCAGAAGCGCATGGAGTACAGCCGCAGGATTCCATCCTCGGGCACATCCGGCGTGGGTGAGCCTGGGATGGGGAGATTTGTTATATATCCATGGATGTCGGGAATGCTGGATCCACATACCTTTAGCCAAATGCCTGCCGTTGCTCATGATGTGCGTGGTGGTCGGGTCTGGAGATGCAAGTGATGATAGCGACTGCCATGCGAGTGGTATATAAAGAGCAGCTGGCTGTCCTTCAGCGGGTGGCTTCTCTTACCCGGCTGAACTTGGTGGCCGGAGAAACCTTTGCGGCTGACATACATACCCAACATTGTATGTACAGTGAAAACTATCTGAAACGTGAACATATGCATTATTCATGCTTAAAGGGTTTCACAGAATCTTGAGGAGAGGGTATTTTGATTTAAAATTGAATAATTTTAAATATTTATTATTCGACGCTGATATAACAGCAACATAAAACATTATTTGATTTGTGAACATAGTTTTCAAACAAGTACCATAATAATAAAGTAAGATAACTAAAATTTTAAGGAAAGAAACAAAAAACCATATAATATGTTTTAATAAAAATGCTTATTAAATTTAATTTAAAATTGTTTAGTATTAAATTTTTTTTTCAGTAACAATGTTTTAATCTCTCGTTTATTTTATAAATTTAAAATCTAAGCCAGCAGATCGTAGTTGGCGTTGCCAGCCTGGCGAGTCCGCCAGAATTCGTCATGTTGCTCAGGAGTGGCATAGAAGGACTGGACCACTGGGTCCTCCTTCAGCAGAGAAATCCACTGCGAGATTTTGGCGAAGCGCTTCTCGTCGAACTTGTACTCATCGCCCAACCTCAACTTGATCACAGAAAGGCGCTCGAACCAAGGCCAAATCATGTAGTCCACGAATCCTGGCTTGTCGCCGCCGAAGAAGGCGGTTCCCCGCTTAGAAAGCTCCTTCTCGAAGATGTCCAGAGCAACCCAGAAGTCGTCCAGACCGGTGCCTTCCAGACGGATCTTCGTGAAGGCATTGGAGAGGCCACTGAAACGCTCCAAAAGAATCTTATCCTGCGCTCGCTTCAGTGCATCCTTGGGAAGCAGCGGGTTTTCCGGATACTTCTCATCCAGATACTCGGAAATGATCAGCGACTCAATGAGAGAGGGCTGGTTTTTCTCCCCCGCCAACTGGAGAGCTGGAACCTTCAGCAGCGGACTAACCTCCCCGAACCATTCCGGTTTCTCGGTGAGATTGATGTACACCGCGTGATGGGGCACCTTCTTGGCATTCAGGGCAAGATGAGCACGCTGGGCAAAGGGACAGAACCTCATGGAGTACAAACGGAGGAGTCCATCCTCCGGCAGAACAGGTTTTGGGGAACCTAAAAATATTTACTTTTCAGTGATTCCTGAATTTAGAAAATACCTGATGATGAGGGATTATCTTATCAGTTAGACAGTTATGGTAATCGAAACCCCTTCGATCCGTCCCTGTACTAAAACATATAGCAAGTCATTGACTTGAGGCGATTAAGCCAAACGTGATACGACAGACATTCACTTGATACCTTATCTTTTTAAAGTGTAAACATTATTATTTGAGACACAAATAGTTAATTAAAGCCAGCGGATATTTCATTGATAAATTAAAAAAAAAAACAAGATGATTTGATGATTTTGGCCTAAAGTGCATTTGCCAACTAAAATCAACTTGTTTATGCGAATATGAAGTCCAATGTTCACATCACGCGTAAGCTCAATGATTGATCCAAATCGTGACTAAATGTACTACAAATACCAATTAGTTTATCTGTTTTTTACTTGGACATTTTGGCTTAAATATTATTAAATTATAAATAGATGAATGTGTAAAATCACGAAAGCATGATTGTTTTTTGCGTAGAATATGGAATGTTGGAGAACTTGTTTTGGTTTGGCAAAATAACGAAAGGGCGCTTTTCTCACCGGTAAAAACAAGTAATTTTCTCTTAATTTTCTCACCGGTAAAAACAAGTTGTTTTCTCTTACCTTTGGCCAAATGTTTACCAGAACTCATTTTTGATTTTGGCAAAAATTAAGCGCACTTGGAACGAAATTCACTTAATTGTTGAAGTCAGCTTGACTTTGGTTGTTAGACTGAATTTTCTCTTCGACGGCGCTCTGTATTTATAAAGCTGAAAATGATAGCATGTGAGCTTTTCACAACATGACTCTTAGTACTGTCTGCTCTTCCTCCTGGACCTGTTACATCTACTTAGTTATTTAATAATCACGCCTGTTTGTAAATATATATATATCGGTACATATATTATATTATTTTACATTGTTGGGGGGAGTTTTTTAATTGAACTTCCAACTACTTCACACACATCTAGAGATTAAATTTACAAACCTTTCGCAAAAAGTTTTGATCGGCGGCCTTAAAAAAAAACCTTAATCTATTTACAAAAAAGTTCTCGAAATCTCAGATGAAGCTTTATAAAAAATACAAAAAAAGTACGAGTAAATATACAACAGATTCGCTGAGTCATAAAGCCGCGATAGCGTCAGACAAAATAGTAGTTATCAGTTATTGCAATTCAAATAAAAATGTGGAAAAAAATTTGCAAGTAATAAAGAATGAATATTATTTTCGCTGTTCCGATTAATTTTCTATCGAAATACAAAATTAATTTAATATTTCCGCTCTTTTTGGTCCTACGAAAGAAATAGTTTCGTTCTAACAATCATTTGTATTAAATAATTCGATTTTAAAATTGATAAAAAACATCCGAACTCCTTTAAATAATTAATTTGCTTAGTTGTCTGTTTTTTCGTATCAATTGCGCGTTGTTGTTACAGTAATTACATGGGCAATAAGTAGCTAAAACTAAGTAAATCCGTACTCTTAAAAAAACTACACACTTGAGTTAAATGTTAAATTTGTTTCGTTTTCAAGATTTCTTGCTTGCTTGTTAGTTTCGTTATGTTTTGTATCGTTGCCTGACGATTCCGACTCTAAGTTTCGTTTATATGATAGTTTCGTTAAATTTTTTTGCGATTTTGTATTTTGTTTGTTGCTCTATAAAATGTGCAATCTGGTCAGTGGCGGATACGAGGGGGGCGATAGGGGCGATCAACACAAAGAGAAAGACAGCAAGTGTCAACAACTAGAGCGCGCATTCGATTTTTAGCTCATAGTTATAGGTCAGCTTTCAATTACGATCCGCACATTGATTATGCTCATCAGACAACCGTCCAAATTGGATCAATGGATAAAAGGTGCTCGAAGTGTTCCGCCAAAAATGGGGCCATGAACCGATTGGTATGTATGTAAAATATACAATGACTTACAAAAACTCCTACAAATAAAAAAATATAAATAAATGGTAAACCTTTTTTATTAAAACCCAGGCGAAGCTGTGACGGGCAGTTAGTTTATATATATATTTTAAGATCTTTCCAATGGCAGCTATATGATAGAGATATCCGATTTTGATAAAATTTAATCCGAAATTCAATAGTAGTTAGACAACTCCTTTTGGAAGAAATTAAGTCAATCTGATCAAAAACAACGGCGTAAGAATTTTTATTTCATTCTCTCGTATGGGAGCTATCCGATATAGTCGGCCGATCCGGCCCGTTCCGACTTATATACTGCGTGCAATAACTGCACAACTTTTGGGAAGGTTTCAGCAGGATAGCTTTAAAACCCTTTGCTCTGCAAGGGTATAATAAAATTTTACTTACCGAAACCCGACGTCGATTCTTTGGCACATACATACATAGGTTTTAACGGGTATTTTGATTTAAAATTGAATAATTGTAAATATTTATTATTCGACGCTGATATAAAAGCCACACAAAACATTTTTTGTTTTATGAACATAGTTTTCAAACAAGTACAATAACAATAAAATAAGATAAATAAAATTTAAAATTAAGGAAAGAAACACAAAACCATATAATATGTTTTAATAAAAATGCTTATTAAATTTAATTTAAAATTGTTTTGTATTAAATATTTGTTTCAGTTACAATTTTTTAATCTCTCGTTTATTATATAAATTTTAAATACTGATCTAAGCCAGCAGATCGTAGTTAGCGTTGCCAGCCTTGCGAGTCCGCCAGAATTCGTCATGTTGCTCAGGAGTGGCATAGAAGGACCGGACCACCGGATCCTTCTTCAGCAGAGAAATCCACTGGGAGATTTTGGCGAAGCGCTTCTCATCGAAGTTGTACTCATCGCCCAACTTCAATTTGATCACGGAAAGGCGCTCGAACCAAGGCCAGATCATGTAGTCCACGAATCCTGGCTTGTCGCCACCGAAGAAGGCGGTTCCCCGCTTGGTGAGCTCCTTCTCGAAAATGTCCAGAGCAACCCAGTAGTCGTCCAGACCGGTGCCTTGCAGAAGGATCTTCATGAAGGCATTGGTGATGCCACTGAAACGTTCGATCAGGATCTTATCCTGCGCCCGCTTCAGTGCATCCTTTGGAAGCAGCGGGTTTTCCGGATACTTCTCATCCAGATACTCGGCAATGATCAGCGACTCGATGAGAGAGGGCTGGTTCTTCTCCTCCACCAACTGGAGAGCTGGAACCTTCAGCAGCGGACTAACCTCCACCAACCATTCCGGTTTCTCGGTGAGATTGATATATACCGTGTGGTGGGGCACCTTCTTGGCATTCAGGACAAGATGAGCACGCTGAGCATAAGGACAAAACCTCATGGAATACAAGCGGAGGAGTCCGTCTTCCGGCAGAACAGGTTTTGGGGAACCTACAAATAATTTATGTATTTTTTAGTGAAATTGACTAAAATTACCACGTATAAAAGCAGACATAGATCCAGAAAATATCTGATAATGAGGGATGGTTAAATTATCTTATCAGTTAGACATTTAGCTGTTAGAACCCCCTTCGATCCGTCCCTGTACTGAAATGTATAGCAAGTCATTGACTTGAAGTCGATAAAGCCAAACGTAATACGAAAGACATTCAGTTGATACCTTATCTTTTCAAAGTGTAAACATATTAACTGAGACACAAATAGTCAATGAAAGAGAGCGAATATTTCAGCGATAAATTAAAAAAAAACAAGGTGATTTGATGATTTTAGCTTAAAGTGCATTTGCCAACTAAAATCAACTTGTTTATGCGAATATGAAGTCCAAAGTTCACATCACGCGTGAGGTGAATGATTGATCCAAATCGTGACTCAGTATATTAAGCAAATACCAATTGGTTTATCTGTTTTTCACTTGGCCATCTTAGTTTAAAAATAATTAAATTATTAATGGCTGAATGTGTAAAATCACGAAATGATGGTGATTGTTATTTGCATAGAATATGGAATGTTGGAGAACTTGTTTTGGTTTGGCTAAACAACGAAAGTGAGTTTTTCTCACCGGTAAAAACAAGTTGTTTTCTCTTACCTTTGGCCAAATGTTTACCAGAACTCATTATTGATTTTTTGCAAAATTAGACGCACTATGAACGAAATTCACTTAATCGTTGAAGTCAGCTTGACTTTGGTTGTTAGACTGAATTTTCTCTTCGACGGCGCTCTGTATTTATAATGCTGAAAATGATATCATGTGAGCTTTTTCACAACATGACTCTTAGTTCTGTCTGCTCTTCGATATCGCTTTTAAAAACGATTTCTCATCGTAGACGTTTATTTCATTTAAAACGCTTTGCTACATTTGCGATTTGTTTGGGGAAGAAACAATTTCCTCCTGCACCTGTTACATCTACTTAGTTATTTAATAATCACGCCTGTTTGTAAATATATATATATATCGGTATATATTATATTTTTTACATGGTTGGGGGGAGTTTTTTAATTGAACTTCCAACTACTACACACACATCTAGAGATTTAAGTTTATAAACCTTTCGCAAAAAGTTTTGATCGGCGGACTTTCAAAAAAAACCTTAATCTATTTACAAAAAGTTCTCGAAATTTCGGTTGAAGCTTTATAAAAAATATAAAAAAAATGTACGAGTAAATATACAACAAATTTGCTGATGTCATAAAGCCGCGATAACGTCATACAAAATAGTAGTTATCAGTTATTACAATTTAAAAAAAATGTGAAAACAAATTGGCAAGTAATAAAGAATGATTATTGCATTCGCTGTTCCAATTGATTTTTTATCATAATCCAAAAATAATTTAATCTTTCCGCTCTTGTTGGTCCTACGAAAGAAATAGTTTCGTTCTAACAATCATTTGTATTAAACAATCAGATTTTAAAATTTTTTCTTTGACAATGTCCGCTGATAAAAAACATTCGAACTGCTTTAAATAATTTTGTTTAGTTGTCTGTTTTTCGTATCAATTGCGCGTTGTTGTTACAGTAATTACATGGGGAATAAGTAGCTAAAACTAAGTAAATACGTACACTTAAAAAAAACTACACACTTGAGTTAAATGTTAAATTTGTTTCGTTTTCAAGATTTCTTGCTTGCTTGTTAGTTTTTTTATGTTTTGTATCGTTGCCTGACGATTCCGACTCTAAGTTTCGTTTATAGTTTCGTTAAATTTTTTTGCGATTTTGTATTTTGTTTGTTGCTCTATAAAATATGCAATCTGGTTGCATTTTGATCACGGTTCTTGCTGTTGCCTAATAAACATCCCTCTTTTGATTACTGGAACGACTTGAATTTTTCGAACAGAATGGTGTTTTATGGTGGCTACTTGAGCCCATGGATCTGCGCCATCAAGGCGCCAATTCTAAAGCTCCAAATGAACGATTGGTGTTTTGATGTTGCTCCTTGAACCAATGTCCTTAGGCATTCGGTGAGGTGGCTGCTCCGGGGGATGTGGTTGCTGCATCAACGTTGCCCATCTTGTGCAGCACGAGGGACTGCGTCGATCGCGTGGCGGTGGAACTGGGATACTTTGGCTGCATTTGGCTGGTGGACACTGTGGAAGAGCTGCTGGTCGCCGGCTGGGGATGCTGGCTGCAAGTGAACAGAGTTCATCAGAGTGCTCTGGCTAGCCCTTAGGACACACACCCCTTCTGCTCGCCGTCCTTCTTGCTGTTGAACATGGCCAACTCGATCTCCGTGTGCTGACTGTTCATATGCCGCACCCACTCCGCGGGTGTGTCAAAGGATCTGAAGATTAAGTCAAGGATTCAATAAGATACCTTTATTGTTATTTAATTATATGCACTTACGTGGAACACAAATCGCAGAGTAATGTGACATGATCATGGTCCATGTTGTTCTCTTGTTGCTGCAATAAAAAGGAAAAGTATTTGTTTTAAATAAAATCAATAAAAATTACAAAATAGTTATACTAAATATAGGAAATATATAATATATTATAACAATAAAAATAATTGTTACTTACCGAAACCCGACGTCGTTTCTTTGGCACATAGGTTTTAACGGCTCGCAGGGCGAGATTGCTGGATGCGGTGGCTGTACTCCCGCTGGCACTGGAAGGCAGGAGGTTCCGCTCCGTCCCGACCGCCGGATCACCCGCATGTGTGCCCAAATGCCGGACCAGCATCTTGGTGTCCTCGAAAGACTTCTGACAAATTTCGCAGACCAGCAACTGCTTAAAGTTGTTGTAATCCCGCAGAGTGTGCTCCTCGCTCTCCTCGGAGGGTGTTCCACGATCCCTGTTAACCTCCAGTTTCACGGCGGACATCTTGAAGTCCAGCGGCTGCTTGGGCGAACCCATTGGCCCCTCCTCCAAATTGTTGTTGTTGGTCGCATTGGAGGCATTTGGTGGGTTGTTGCTCCAGTCGGTCGGCTCCTGCTTGATGGTGAGGAAGTTGTGCGGATGTCGAAGTGTCGGCGGATGTGATGGCTGCTGTTGTGGCGGCGGCGGTGGTGGTGGTGGAGTGGCAGCCAGGCGGGATGACACCACGTGCTCGAAATGGGGTGCTTCATAGTAGTCACGAGCTGGGGGATTTATCAATATTTTTTGGAGATTAAAAAATAATTTACAGAGTATTTTAATAAACTCACATCTTTCACAAGCACTTTCTCTCCTCAAACGCCTTTCAAATACGAGTCCCACTTCGTTCCTTTCGCGAAGTGCCTGCTCCTCGTACTCCGTCCTTCGCAGCGTGGACTCCGCGTGATCCCCACTGGGACCAGTGGCCATGGGACAACTGCTGCAGCCCACCTCCGTGCAGATGGAAATGGGCTGCGATGGCGGAGCACCGGAACCTCCTCCTCCGCCGGTCGTCGTTGATGAGGTTGGCGGCGGAGGATGTGACTGTGCCTCCACCTGTCCCGGAGCAGCAAAGCAGCACTTGTCCTCCGGATCGATGGCCACCTCCTTGTTAACCGAAATGCCCAGCTTGCTGCTGCTCGCCACGGTGAGGAGTCCTGTGTGAGCGGCCATTTTCGGCGACTTGATGATCACGGGCGAGTCCTTGGGCATTACGGATACGCCGAGACCCCGGAACTGCTGCTGCTGAGAGTGATGGTGACTGAGGTGGTTGTGGTGCGACGACAGGTGGTGGTGGTCCATTGCGAATCGTGTGGATCCGCCGCTCTTGCTGGCATACAAGTCTCCCTGAATTTGAGTTGCCATGGTCGAAGGCGGCGGCGGAGGAGGAGGCAAGCTGGATCGTGTGCCGTTCGACATGTACATGGCACTGGCCTCGCGCGGATGCAGATGCCCGGAAAGTGGATGCGGATGGTGTGATGTGGTCACTACGGAGCCAGAGCCACCGCCGTTGGAAGAGCTGGTGCGGCACAGACCGCGAATCTTGAGGATCTCACCGCCACGCAGGACCTCGTTAAGTATGTCATTGGAAACGGTGGCCTCGCCACTGTACATATATTGCACCAGGATCTGGATGGCCCGGTGGCTGAGATCCGGCGGCAGGACCACGTAGAGCACTCCGTTCGGATTTGTGATCGGTGCCGTTTCGAACATGGTGGCGAAGAACTGGGACGAAGCACTGAGGATGAACTTGTGGGCCGAGATGCCTACCGTTGGAATGTCCGAGGGGATTCCACTGCTGTTGTACGAACTGTACAGGACCACGTCGGCGAATTTTTCATTTCTGCAGATATAGTTGAAAGTTGAGACATTAATAAACTGTGTATCCTACATTTTCTAAATAAATTTACTAAGAAGTATTTCATTTAAATTGATTCAAATTATAAGTTTGAAACTACATATGATAGATCCATTTCGAAATGTTAATCATCTTAAATCCCATATAGCAAGATTAAATATGTTACTTACTTGTAAAGCGTGGCTATGGAAGAGTTCAGATAGGAGAGGTGCGAGTCCCACTTGAGGTGATAGTTTTCGGCGGCCATCTCTGCGGCCGGCAGCGCCTGCACAACGATAAAATCAATAAACAAATCAATAAATGCCGCCAGTAAGTGGGGTGGATTTTTTAAATCATTCATTTCCACCTCACCACCCCAAGCGTGGTGAATATAGTGTCAAACAACCCTGTTTTTAGTTAGTATATTTATGAGTAGAAGAAACAGTCACACTACCGTTTGTTTACAAACTTTCATTTGTTATTACTTTGAGAATATTGAAATGTCTGAGCTCGACACGCGACTTATAGAATTGGTAAAGGCTAATCCCAAGCTATATGAACGGGAAGTAAGGTGCACACCCTATGACGCCAACAAAAAACGGAACTCGGAAATCTGGCGCAGCATCGCCACTTCCTTAAAATCAGATGGTAACAAACTGAAGTTTTCTAACAGAATGTGTTTATATTACCTATTTTACCTATTAGTCCATGCCTGTATGACTCGGTGGAACCATCTGGTGACCAAGCACCGTCGGGAGTTGATAAAGGCAAAATCGGGAGGCAGTGGCTCCGATTGGACTCTGCTGCCCCAATTGAATTTTCTGCAACATCATCACCCAAACATTCACCGAAATTCGGGAGATGTGAGTAGGAGCTCCCTGAAGTCCATCGAAGAAATCCACGACGAGGAGGATCCCCTTCAGGAGGCTATGGATGAGCAGCTGGCCGTGGCGGGAGCACCCCTACCAGCCGTAAATCCTGCGCCTGCACCTTCTGCTGCTCCAGTTAGAGCGGAAAAAAGAATTGAGGCCCTGCTTGAAGGATTGGGAGAAGCAAACCGCATAAAGGCGGAAAAAAGGATACTCGCATACTTATGCAAATGCAATCTGCGCGCCCTTAACGACGAGCAAATCGATGATATAGTTATATAGAAAGTGTGGCATAGAATATATCAAAGCTATTAACATCACAAATAAGGTTTTAAAGTCTGGCTCCCATTTAGCTCTTTTAATACAATTTTAAGAAATTTCACCGGAAACGGGGAAATAAATATAAGTGTGATTGAACAACTTATTAATAATACCCAAAAACAATTATATTCTAGAATTTAAGTTATTAAAATTCAATTTGTTAAATTCAACTTGAAAAACCGCTACTAGTCATAAATAGCAAAACGATTCCTACGAAAGCAAGTTTTTACATACATATGTATTCATTCTATCTGCTGTAATGATAAGCTCAAGTGTTAATATTTAAATAGGTATTTTATTAACTTGATAAGAAGCTTCAAACTGTTAAATCCTCGGCGGCACAGATTTGTATTGAAAGGTCATTTACAATCCGACGATTTGAGCGGTATAGTAATACAGTACGAAAAGCTATCTGTATGGCCAAAAATCGGTCGGCTTGGCGGGGCAGGTGGTAGGTGACGGAAAATCGAATTCAGCCACGCCAAAAAACTCCTACTATGACGCAGCTGCTGGGAACTGGTCAAAGAGTCAAAGAGTGCGCGCGCAAGCAATAACATGTCCAATATCCATGTCTGGATCGGATCGGGGGTAGGCAAGACTCCCACCGAGGGGGAAGCGACGACGCCAAAACAAGCATTTAGTTTATTAATTTGAGGACTCCCAAAGGGGAGGGCGGCATGCCGAAACAAAAACATAACGAGCGAGGAGCGTCGTGCACCCTTAACGACTGATGCCACTACTGCCACAACCCCTCGAATCCACCAAATCCCCCGCCTGTTCGCCCCCCCGAAAGACCCGACGCACTAAGTCACTACATGAACTACTCCTACGGCCAGCCACCTTCCCCATTCCCGGACCCTTTGCTTGGTATTAACACCGTATTATCGATTGATTCCAGCACAAGCACACAACACAAAAATCAATAAGCTGGCCAAAGCCAAAATAAAATATTGTACAGTTTACTGGTTGTAAGTTCAATCTCATTGTCCGCTTTATAATTAAAGACAATTATTTAAGTTTTGATTTATACTTACGCCTAAGTAAATGGTTTTTCAAAATACGCGCCCAAAACGTTTAAATGCTACATTTAACTGGTAATTCACCTTGGCTCTCCTCCTGTTCGTTTTAAAATTCGCTTTAAATATATCCGTTGAACGCACTGGATCGAGTCTGTGGCTTTTTGGGATGCCGCTTTTGTTTATAATTTGTTGTTAATTGATAATTTGTTAGAACGCTGGGGGAAACCCGTGCGACTTGCACTTTTTAGATGGGAAAACTGCGCAGCGCGTCGTTTCGAGCTTTCGCGTTTGCTGGCCACCGAACGAATGGATTCACAGCCAAAGGGACAGGACCAAAAGGACTCTCCCAGGCAGACAAAGCGAGATTGAGAGCGAGAGCGAGAGAGAGAGAGCGCCAGGGTGCGAGCCACAGGATGCGAGAGAGCAGCCCTCGTCCTCACGTGCGCATTGTTATTGTTGTGGTTGGTTTGAAGTTGGATACGAAGCGCGCGTAAAATTGATTTCCTGAGAATATTGATTTTTGGTACCTCAGTTGGCCTGCACCTCCTGCTTAGCCTCCGGCAATTCCACCTCTTTGGTTTCCTGCACTTCCGCTTCTTTAGTTTCCTGCACTTCCCCTTCAACCTCCTCCCTTTCCTCCTCCATGGGTTCTCCCTCCTCTTCGTTTGCTTCCCTTAACATTGCCTCCTTTTCCAGCTGCGTTTGCGAGGCAGAGGATGTGTCCTGCTTGAAAAGTTCCCGCAGGAACATAGTCGCATAAGCGGCCGTGGGCAGCGAGAATTCCAAGAGTAGGGCCATGAATTTGGCCTCATCCTCTGCGGGTTCTGGTGTCACTGGAATGTTCTTCAGCAGCTCCCAGTCGGAGGCAATCAGCGTGTCCTCCGGCGTGTTGTACAGCCTGAATTTCCACTTGAGATCACTGGAAGATATGATCATCTTTCGGTAGGCACCAGCCAAAGCATAGGTCTTCTCCTTGTGCTTCAATTGATCCGAGGAAAGACCCACTTCAGCCAGCATTTCCTCGTACCAAGCACCGCACTCATTGCTGGGATAGGTGATGTCGTGTCCTGGCAGAGGGAGTACCACGTCGGAGAGTTTGAACTTGCCACTGGCAATGTCCTCCGCAGTAAGTGGACGCACCTTCCGTTTAAATACAGACTCCTCTTGGATGGCTTCTTCCCCTTCTTCAGGTTCTGGAAGATCTTCATTACTCTCTGGTTCCCTCTGCTCCTCCAAGTGCTCCGCCTGCTTCTCCTGCTCGTTTACGCCTTCCATCTGCTCCTGCTCCACATAAACCAAATCACCGGGTATCAGTTTCAATCCAAACTCCTTAATCCTCCTAGAGGCGATCCTGTTAAAGATTAGGCTTTGGTAGGCATGTGGATAGAGCATAAGCATGTTGCGTGGTATCTGTCGTAAAGCAGAAGAGTAATCTGATTCCCCAAATCTGGCCAAGCCGTCCAGCAGCTTCTTTTCTATGAACTTATGGCCGTAGATTTTGGCAGCTGCCGCCGCAGAGTCACGATTTTTCCACCACTCCTCGCGTATGGGACGCAAAATCTCCACATCCGAATCTCGAGGCTTCAGAATCAGTTCGCAGGCCAGTTTATAATCGCTCTTGAGCAAGGCTACACCCACTTCATAAGTGGGCACACTAGCACTGTTTCCAAACCGCTGCAATCCATAGTAGTTAATAAATCCCCGTTCACGCAGGGATTCCAGCGCCAACTCAATCTCGCCACGCTTATCCTTTGCTATATGTCGCAGTGCGATGCGGAAACGATTGCCCTGCAGATCGCCCAACTTGAGTGTATTGGATTGGAATCCAAAGTTACCAATTTGAACATTTCTCAAGGCGCGGCCGGCATTCAAGATGCTCGCCGGCGTGCGGCGTTTGATGGAAAAGTTCTGGGTGGTCTTGGCCCGTTTGTCCTTGATACCGCAATAGTTCACCTGCGAGGGTCGTAGCCTTTAAATAAATAATTATTAAATATTATTTTTGTCTGTGTATATTTTTGGGGGACTCTTTACTTACTTTAGTCGAGCGGCTAGAGTGGAGGCCACATCACTGGTAACCAAATTGGTCTTGTGCACCAGGAAGGTCACATATTCCCCAGGAAAGGTCCAACGATTGTCGTCTGTTAAAATATTATTATTAAATAGTGCTTCCCTTGGTAAATCGTGTTACAAATACTTACGTCGCCCTCCCTTTGGTTTAAGTATCCTTATTATTTTCTTCTCCGCCTGCTTCTGTGGTTCTTCCAGAGCTTGTGTTTGTTCACTTACAATATCGGTCTTCTCCGAAGATGTCTCCTCTTGTGTCTTCACCTGTTGCTGTCCAATTGTGGTAGACACTAGTTTATTCTTGTAAAGCTGTTTAATCATCTGATGAACTTGGGTTCGTTGCTCCTTGTCCAAACTGGTGACATCAACCTCAATCTTTTGATCGATTGCGGGATCGTATTTGGCCTCCGCCAAATTAGCAATATCCTGCCAGACATCTGGACCAATCACAGACTCTAGTTCCTGCCGCCAGTTGTCCAGTTCTTGATCAGGTACAGCTAAAAAATTTGAGGTTCATTCAAAAAATGAAGAGCTTTCTTTATAGAGGAAATACAAACCCACAACAGCTACTTTGGGAACACTTAGATCATTCAGTTCCAACACTTTGCCGGAGCTATCAATCTCGTTTACATGAAAATCGGAAAAGCGGGACTTAAGAATGCCCGTGAACCCAAGTGCTTCCGGGTTGGTAAACTCCGTAATGCCCACTTGGTTCTCTCGCAGGGTAGATTTTTGCTGCGGCACGGTACTGGGAATAAAATAAACCGGCTAACACTTAAATTGTTTATTAGATGATGTGAATACTACCTGTTGCGCGGGCCTTCATTGTTTTGCGACCGATCCCTTCTTTGACCACGCCAATTGCCTTTGTTGTAAGGCCTGGAGTGATGGTTCCTGCGTCCTCTGCCCCGATCCTTGCCCATTTTAATTCAAAAATTCTGGTTTAAAGAAGTTGCTCAAATGAAATCCACGTTTTGCCAAACATATGTTTTTTGTCATTCACAAAAAACGTTTTTTAATGTGACCACGTTTTTAACACAACTTTTTAAAAATAATCATTTCCGTTTTATCTGTTAATACCCAATTCTGAGACTTTATCTGAATTGCTTGATCAACGCATTTCAATGTTTTTAATAACCAAGCTAATAAAAGGAGTAAAAATAACTTTTCGTTTCTGAAAACTAGTGTTGCAAAATGTCACACGATAGTATCGATTTCAGTTCCACCTCCACAAACACACGTAACAAAAAACTCATTACAAAGAAGCACACGAAATCATTGTTAGTCTCTAAAAAACGAAAAAGGGGCTTATTCATCCAATAGGTTTGCCAAAAGAAATATCGAAATGTTGCCCCATGTGAGCGCCAACGAGGGTCAACCGTCTGTTACGAGAAAAGTGTACATCAATCCCAACTTCCAACTGCAAGGTCAAACTGCGCATCAGCTGCCCTTCCATGCGTTCCAGGCGCCCTTTCAATCACATTTCCAGGCGCCACCGCAGCCCCAGCCCGCCATCCATATCAATCCGCACTTTCTACAGCGCCAGAGGGCCATGTACGAGCAGTTGCAGCGGGAACAGCAGGAACAGCTTTTCGTGCAGCAACAGGTTTCCGCCTCCTGTTACCAACATGCACAGGCGGGGATTCATTCACTAGCCACACCACCTCCGCCTCCAGCCAAGATCATCAGCAAGGCGAGCACTTGTCTGGTAAGAAAGGCTCATGTAAGGACAAGTGCTCCTCCGCCTGCGCCCACAGTTTCCACCGTCATACAACCACCTTTGGTAAGCATTTCCAAACGGAAGATTGTACGCCAAGGAGCTGTAAAGGCCACTTCTGTGGTTACTGGCTCGATTCCAACTGCACCTCCTGCCAAACGCACCAGGTATAAACTAGTGCGCTCCATATCGCTTACGTGTACGCCTCTGGTCAAGAAACGCCGTCCCCTGCGGGAGTTTGTGGGCCAGTACGCTCTGAGACGAACCAATGAAACGGAACCTAGCAGGAAATTGAGGTATGGTTTGGACTATGATTATTTTGTTTAGCCAAAAATTATTGATTATCACACTAAGGGCTCTGTGTTAAAATCCGAATCAATACTGTCTAAAATTAAAACTTATTTTCTCGCAGCTCGAAGCCACAGGTGCTAAAGCAGGGCGTCAACAAATCCCTCAGCATGGTCAGCATACACGGCGTGATGTACAAGAAGATATCAAAGAACAAGATTACCAAATTAGACTCCAGCTCAGCTACCAGGCTTATCAAGCCTTCTCGATCTGGTAGAACGCTTTTCGTTAGCGGCAACAAGTTCGTCCTTGATCCCTCGGGCTGCCGACTAACTAGAGTTCCGCCTTCATCGACAGTTGTGCCTCAGCTGAGTGTGAATCGTAGCATTCTGCGGCGAATCGATATCGGAGGCCTCACCTATGTGGCTTCGCCGAAGACACAGAACGTCTTTATACGCACCACTAACCACGTGTCGCGAGCCCATCTGATCACAGCCAGGCAGAGGAGTCTGACATTGCTAAACAAGTCGCTGGTGAAGACCAATGTGCCTTGTGCCATCTTCCAGAAACTGGGCAAATGTGCTGCCCACAATCGCGGCAAGTGTCGCAAGCTGCACGACAAGCGGCAGGTCGCCATCTGTGCCAGGTTTGTCCAAGGCTAAGGGAAGCGTGTGAAATTTTCAATGACGTTTCCAAAGAAGAGTTCCCAATGCGCTTACCTTCTTAAAATCCTTTCTTTGCAGCTTTTTGCGCGGCGAGTGCACCAAGTCCGACTGTCTGCTTTCACATAATGTCACCTTGGAGAAGATGCCTGTTTGTCGATACTATTTACGCGGTGTTTGCGTTCGAGAGGATTGTCCATACCTGCACAAGAAACTTAGTAGGAAAACTGAGATCTGCATTGACTTCGTTCGCGGCTATTGTCCGCGGGCTGCCGAGGTAAGGGACTCGGGTTATAAGCTCCATTGATAACCTACTAATTCCCCTGCTTTTTAAGTGCAACAAGCGCCACGAGTTCGCCTGTCCGGAGTTGGAGCGCAAGGGCAAGTGTGAATTGTCCAAGTGTGTGTTCTGCAAAAAGCCTTTATCTAAGAGGTCTGTTATAAGTCGCCCTAAGGCTGACAATAAACCTGTCAGAATACCGGAGACCCCAAAAGAGTCCGTCAAGGAGGAGGATTTACCCACAAGCTCACGGTACTTCAGATGCGATCAAGAGCCAGTGGCAACCAAAGTGCCCAATGATGAAAAACAGAAGGAAGACATAATGATGGAGGAGAAAGAACCGGCGGAAACGGAAACCACTGGCCTTCGACGACGACCAAAACTGGGGTCCCTGCCCGCCTTTATTCCTTTAGGAGGCGAAGACGATTTGTAGAGCAATGAGAGACGACTTGGACCCAACGTTTCAGGTACAAATTAATTTGGTTAAGTATATTTGAGCCTATTCTAAGATTTAATTTTAAGAGTTTACGTTCTATATTTAATAAAAAAATAATAAATAAATAAAAACAATTTCCTTGCGTATAAATTTGTATTTTAATGGATTCGATGGAGAAACTCTACTAAAAAAGATACAAATTGTTTTTCAGTGTATAAGGCCATACAGCAACACTGATTTTTGATTTCTCTTAAAAGAAACTCAGTCAACCAAAGACATCAACCATGGTCTTCTTGAAAAAAGCCTTCAAGAGGTGGAAAAATCGTCGATCGATATTTTCATCGATGTTTCTTTAACTTCGGTTTATTGTCTGCTTACCTGTCCAATGTAAAGTTTCTGTTAACCACGTTAAAAAAGCGCCTCTAGCGGACGAAAATGACAAATCGCTGGTTCAGGTTCAGTTTACCTTGCCTCTAACTTCGGTCTACTTGGTTAAGACTGATTTCGAATGCGGCTCGTACAACAACTGAACAAAAAACGCGGACTCCGTTTCGGGCAACACAAAAAAAAAACGACAAGTGAGTGTGTGTAACAGTGTATGTGTGTGTAACGGTTGCAAATTTGTTGTTGGTTTGGCCAAATAAAAAGCGAAAACCGAGTGAAGTTGCGAAAAAATGCGGGCCAAAAAGGCTGGGAGATTTTCGGCAAACGGCCTTTGAACTCGACGAATGGCTTTGACATCTGTTCGCGATCGGGAATTAATAAATCTCCTCTGCCTCTCTTTTTTCGCTCTCTTTCTTCGTTTAAAACCAGGCCAAAAGCATATTCCAAGTGATTTTTCACTTGTGCACTTGTGGCTTTTGTAATTTCCTCCAAAAAACGTTCTCGCTTTGGTGCATTCCTAAGTAAATGCTACTAATAACAAGAGAAAAAAAAAGAAGAAGAAAAAAGGAAGGCAATCCGAAGATTGGCCAAAGAGATGAAAAAAAGTTGCTTGACTTGTTTGACCCGCGTTTGTGTTTCTCTGTTTGTGTGTGTGTGAGTGCGACTCTCTTTCTTCTTCTTCTTCGGATTCTTGTTGTTGGCCAAGTCGTATTCTACATAAATTACTAACCAAAATGACACACAAAAGCCATAAAAATGAATTTTTAATTTATGCAACAACGGCTACTGCATAACTCTTTAAAATTTATATAATACCTTTGCGAAACTGGTGAAAATCAAGCAAATAGCGGTCATGTATGTAAACTAATTAATCAATTTGAGTTTATAAACTAAGCGAAACCTATCATTACTCGTGATTATAAACCCATTACCGATTTAATCGTTAGAAAATCGCCATCAAGTTTGCTCTAATTCCGTATAATCACCTTTTTTATGTGTCACATATACACCGATTAAATTAATTTAAAACAATTCTGCAGCCTGTGATAAAACAAAGCGAGAAACAATAAAAAGGAAGGAAAAAGAGAACAAAGCAAGCGGTTTCCAGTCGCCAGCAACATTCCATGGTGAGCATGAATCCCCATTAATTCCCAACGAAAGTCTTGACCGAAAATGCTTAAACTGAAAATTTATGTGACAATGACATTAAGAATTCCAATCTCCAGCACGAAATAATTATATTAGATTTTATTTTCATTTAATAATTTGCATAATTGGGCCCTCGTTGGTTCGCTGTGGGGTTCCTCGGGACTTTCCTCATCGCGGTGGGTCGTGCAACCGTTGGAATGGTAATCGGGTTAACTGTTCACCTCAGGGCAGGGGTTACATTTTAGTTAGACTTTATTTTAACGACATTAAATTACACCGTAGCACGATCGCCAAAAAAGTTCTTCCAATTTTAGCGTCAATTATCAGGACATTAAAATTTAAGCTTGATCGGTTGTTAAGTTGTATAGATTTTAAACGTTTTAGTAAGTCATAAGAAAGAAGATATAAAAAAAAATTAAGTTTAAAAAAATTTAAGATTCGTTTTGGTTAACCAGCCTATTACCGTTAAATCAGTATGATTACTTTTATTAACAATATTGTTTACTGGGCAATATTTTTGGTGAAAAAATTATTGCATATGATTTCATTGTAGAAAATTCCATTAAATACAAAAGACTCAGGACACGAACTTGCGGTGGGTGGGTGACTTGGCTTTGAACAGAACAGTACCATAATATGAATAACGGTACCGCGCAGCCGGCGAGGAAGAGGAAGAGCCGGGCACTTTCTAGTCGAAGCCCCTGAGCTTTAGTCTAATGATGTCAATTACATCGTGCCACTCGCATTGCGGGCAACAAATGCATGCCGTGCTTATAAGGCAGCAACAATGTGGCCTGCCACAGAAACAACTGCAAACTGCAAACAGCAGCAGCAACAGCAACAGCAACTGCAACTGCAAATGCAACAAGTGACTGCGACTGTGGCTTCATTAAAATGGCTTTTCGTTTGGCCTGCCTGCATCTTTCTTCTTTCGCTCGCCTTGTTTCCTTTTTCTATTCAATGCTGTTTTCATGTTGTGCCAACTGGAAAATATGTACCTCCACTCGAATGTTTCTTTGCCAGCCAACAATTTTAATGAGTTTTTAAGAAATTGTACAAGATGCCAGTTACGGCTGCGAGGTCCAAGAAATAAAAAACACAAACACCTTTTAGCCGCAGCACAACTCATGTGGTGTGATTAATTTGGCTGCCGATTTGTACGTTAACAAGTGTCTAATGTGTGGAAAAAGACGCGGCCATTTAAGGGGGAAAGTGACAGCGATGAAAACCCTGGGAAAGTAAAGTGGGTACTGCTCTAAGCAGAAGGAGGGCATACGAGTGTATTTCGTACTTTTGTTTTAACTTTTTATCCTTAATTAAAACAATATACAGTCAAAAGGCATTTCTGGGCCAGCGCTAGACAAAAAGTTTTCTTTAAAATGACAAATTTAATCAGAAATATTTTTTAAAGTAATTTACATATGTATTCGACAATTATCAAGATGCCTTGATCTCAAAACTAACCGGTATTAATAAATTTAGCAAGTTGAAAAAACCCACGTAGAACTAGAAAAAAAATGTATTTATATAGATCCAGAAACCACTATAAATAAACATTAAAATAAGAATAATGATTGACTTTTTAATGGTTTTATATTTTATTGATTAACATTGCTTATTATAGGTCGTTTTCTTGCTAAGCTTATAATTTAGTGCATACATTTATCCCACCAACTGCACTTAAGCTCAAAAAATGTAATAAACATAATAATTTATGACTCAATTTTTGTACTGAGAAGGCTCCAAACATATTTTTCGGTCATTTGCGCAGGAGAAAAGCCTCAAAAAATGTGAACCGAAATCGGTGCTGTCACGCCCACGTTTCATGCTCGGGGGCTTAATGGGACCCAGTTGGGGGGAAAGGGGAAAGGACCGAGGCCTCTTTACGCCCAATTTGTCACACATTTCAACAGGTTACGAGATGGACGAACCGGGGTGGGGATTTTGAGTTGGAGGTTTATCAAAAGCTGAGCGAAGAAGACGTTGACGATGACGACGAACGAGATGTGGCAGGAGGAGCAGACCAGAACAGAACAGACGGACCCTTAACGCGGATCACGAGTATATGGGTCTTGGGTTTGGGTAGGCGTTCTGCTCTGGAGTGTGGAGTGTGCAGTGTGGAATTTTCGGGCATACCTGGCGGGCCTCATGAAGCGTGAGGAATTTCCCCGCATCCCGCATCCCACCTCTCCCTCTTCCCGATCGATTTCGCTGGTGCTGTTCCTTGTTGTCCTTTCTAAGTGAAAAATTATGCAAAAATGTTTCACTTTAATAGCGGAAATCATTTATAGAAGTTGTAATAAAGTCCCAGCGTGCTCGCTGCCTTTTCTGAACCATCGGTGGTCATGTTTTTTTTTCTGTTTTTCGGAGGAGTCCTCCATGTTGTTGTTGCCATGTTGCCAGGGGCTGGGTTTTGTGCTCGTTAAACGACCGCCAACGTAGCCAAATGTAAGTTTGTTGCAACACTTTGTTACGGTGACAGTGGCGCGGACCGAAAGTGGAGGGGGGCAGAGGGGCAGTGGCCCCTCGAAAGGAGCCTAAGTTAAGGGGACTTTAGTCAACGCTAATGACCTGACAAAAGCAATCCAATGCGATTCTCGGTGGTGTGGCATTTGTTGACTTTTAGGCGCAAATAAACTGTGAGAGTTCATTAGCTACAAAAAGAGACAAGCAACTATTCACCATTCCTTATTTGGGGCATTAAAAATGTGTTTCCTTAATGGCAAAAAGTATGTGAATAGTAAAAAACGCAAAAAAGGTGTAAGGCCAAATAACAAGGAGACAGGTTGTTTTCAAAGCATGTTTGATAATTGATAGGCATTATTTATGTGAATTATATTTGTAAGAAACTGATAAAAAAAAAAAAAAACAAAGAAATTAGGGCACAAAGTTTGGATTTTTAAACAAAAAATTTCGGAAAACGAAAAAAGTTTTAGTCATGTTAAAAAACATTAATTACCTACATATAGTGAACAAAAAAATGTATGTATATGTCTCAATTTCTGCACTACTCATAGAAAATACAAAAGACTTAGGACACGAACTAGTAGATTGGCAAGCAAAAATTTTTTAACAAAAAGCTCAATCAAAAGCAAATAATTCGCCCATCCCGAACACCGGGCATAATAATACAGCTCGAAAACAAAAAACAGAAACAGTTGCCATAAAAACTGCGACCGAGTACAATTATAAAACCATTAAGGCATCTAAATTAGCTCATTTGCTATGAAACCGGGCATCATAATCGTTAAAAGCCAGCAAAAACTCGCAGTCGCAGAGGCGAATGATAATTGTGCAAAAAAAAAAAAACAAAAACACAAAAAAAATTACAAACACAAGCAAACCAATAAAAGCAATAAAAGCGAACTGTTAAAAGTGCCGCCACACAGACGCTGACCAATTGATAAGCGCTTTATGACAGCGATCTGAATGCATTACGGTTTATGGTTTTTCATGCCTATTTGCTGGCCGTTTTCTTGGGGATATTATAAAATTGAGAGCACAGCAGCGATCATAAAAATATAGCAGTGCAAAGCACAATTGCGCACTGGTCAGTATTGTACACTCAATAAAATTTGACTCGGGAAATTCCAAGCCGGCGACTTGACTCATTAAAATGCCAAGGCAGTTGCAAAGAAAATCAATTCAAAATCAATTCAGAGTGGGGAACGCACTTTTCCAGGGATCCACGGTGACTGCGGTTTTCCTCGGCCTGTCACTCAAATCTCTCTCTAACATTTCAATTAAGATCGCGTTCTATGGCTTCGGGCCAACAATGGAGGCCCCATTAAAAGTCACGCACAATTGCCGCTCGAGAATGGATTAAATCGCAACTCAGGGCCTGCGAATTTCCGCTTGTGAAAAGCGTTTTAATTGATTTCGCTGGCCTTTAATTACGGCCTCTTGTTTGCTCTGGCAACTTTCTCTAGAAGGCGAGCCAATTAAATGATAACAAATTCGAAGGGAAGAGGCGGTTTCCAATTCCGATGGCGATGATAGGCAGGCGCCGCTGGCAAGTGAATGGCGCAATCAGAATCTCGCAACCCAAAGCCGACACCAAAGGCAGAACTCGAACCCAGAGCAAGCCAAAACCCAACCCAAAGTGGAAACAGAATTCTCACCGAAGCTGAGGCCACTGTGCGCGAAATCTTGTCTTCTAAAAGGGGGACATGGGGATTGGGGAATGGGGATGGCACAAATTTATGGCCACATTCAATTGTCAAGTTTATGTGACTGCGACTGAGGATCGGCCAATATTTGCATAAGAGGCGTCCCTTCGTTCCCTAGAATTCACTGGCATTTGAAAGACTCATTGTCAGCGGGCTCTGGTTTTTCTCTTCTGTTCTGTTTTTTTTTTTTTTTTTGTTTGCCTTCAATACCGCTCTATAAATAAACACTGTATTCTTCCTTTGTTTTGCAGAAAATCAGAGATCAGAGGGCGCCCTAATGACTTTGCACTGGCACACAAATGACGAATTATGAGAACCTTATAAATTTGCCATTAAACCTAAACTTTAATGCAAATAATAATGAGAACAATGCCAAAATTGCCATCGCTGGCGAGCAGTTTCTGAATAAGATGTCGCAGCGGGATTTCTCCGAGGTAAGTTGAGAGGCGAAAGGAAATCGAATTATTGTTCAATTATGGTTTTTGGAAGCTGCCGCACAGCATCTACAATTCCTCCCCTTTCCATCCCCCCCCTCACTAAAAAATGAGAAAAAGAAAAACATGTTTGCAGGCCATGTATTTCCAGTTTGCAGTTCAAACACCATGACAATTATTTATGGCCTTCAAATACATAAAACTTAATCAGGCATTACGCTCTCCAAAAAATCCAACAAAGAGATGAGCCAGAGACATACACAAAAGTAAAGTGAAAAAAAAATAATCAGAGCCCGACTACAGACTACAGGAAAAAAACAATCAGGGGCAATAATCAAAATGATGGCAAAATGATTTCAATGTTGATTAACTCAGCGGCGAGACTACAAAAGGGCTTAGCTACACGGGCCAAATTAAACAAAAGCCCAGTCGAGCAGGCAGATAAAAATGCCAAAACGCAAAACCTCATGGATTGCAGATTGCGGACTGCGGACTGCGACTAAAACTGACCCTGACTCTTTGCCCAGGCCCTTTCATCATATTCCGCGCTGTCATGTCATGGACAAGAACAAAACCGAAAAAACCGAAGAAACAACACACATCCAGGGGAAAGCAACAACTTGAGGAGCAGACGACAACGTCAACGATGCTGGATATAAGTTTCAGGGCCTGTCTCCTCGAAGGGACCAGTCCAGAATTCGGAATCCGAGATCATCAGGGAGTCCCAGCCGAACATCCAGACCCCTGCGGCCTGTCTCGCCATCCAACCGACTAACTGACTGACTGACTGACTGTCTGCCTTTCGAGTGTCCCTTTTGGCAGCTAGACGGACGATAGGAAGTGACCATTCCCATTCCCATTCCCAGTCCCAAACCCGAACCCAGGCCACCATTCTTTTCCAGATTCTGCAATCAGAGAAGCGTGGCCAGGAATTTCGGCTTGGTGGCAGCTAAATGCTTGCAAAAATTTCACACTAATGTCGAATTCTATTAAAGCCTAAACATACAAAACTTTAAAGGTTACTCTGAATGCGGATTATGATAAGATTAGCAGACAAGAGGTCTTAGATCAGTTTTAATATTGTTATAAAAAGATTTTGATATTATCTTAAAGTTTGTGTATCAAAAATAAATTGTGAATTAGTGACAATTCTTATTAGGGTTAAATAAAATCAATAAAATCAATTTGAAAATCCTTTTAATATTCGTTAAAATGTTCTTCAAGTAAGACAGATAATTGCAAAGAAATAATTGCAATTTCTACTTCACCTAAGAACCCATCTTAAATCATCTTTTGCTAACCTAAAGCTTTCTAAAAGATTAATTAATTATTTTATAGTGCAGCTTAAAAGCGCAAACCCTAATAACGAAAATGACCATAAATTGCGCACAAAAGGCGGTGCCTAATAAAACTTCGAGTCGAATGTCTGAAGTTAATTTCTTAGAGGCTGACTTCCTGCCTACGCTGCAATGGGATAATCAGGGATTATCCGCGCAGCGTGTGCGATTTTCAGGGGAAAGCGAGGACCTCGGCCCGCAGCTAATTATTTTATTACGCGTTAAATTGCAACAAAATTCTCGGGGCTGAGCGCAAAACATGCCAATGTGCGCCACAAGCAATCGTGAAATTGTTCGCATTCCAATGCGGCGGACTTTATCGATGCTCCGTACAGCCTCTGAGGCTAAGACCCATACCCATACCCATACCCATATATATGCATACATATATGTGTGTAGAGCCAACTTGGCTAACACACACACTAGTCCGTTTGGTTCCAGGCAGCCGCCCGAGTGCATCTATGGGTGCCACTTTTTTTTTTTGTTCGTCTCACTCCGCGCTTTTCGTATTTTTTGTGCTGCTCTCGCTGCTGCTGGGCGGACAGCCATGAAACGGCGACCAGTTCTCGAATCGCAGGTTTTTCTCTGGCATTCCTGAATTCCACCGCCGACTTCCTTTCTCTACCCGCTTTTTCTCCCTTTCTCGTTGCATAAAATTCTTGTCCGTCTTCGACTATTTTCTAAAATGCTGCTGCTGTTGCTTTGCCGATGTTGCTGTTGGACTGGCGATGTTGCTGCTGCCTGTTCTGTTGCTGTTGCAGTTGCTGTTGGATTGCTGCTGCTGCCAATTTAGCTGGAATTGCCGAAGCGAGATAGCTAGCGTATCACTTTACATGACTTCTCTATGTGCCATTTGGGCGCCAATTCCTAAATTGACATACAGCACGGCGGAACAAAAACGGAGCGAAAGGGCAGTGAATGCTGAAAAGAGATCCACTGAGATTCTTTCCTTATAAAAATAATAGAGAGAAAGGCAGTTAATTAGGAGATACAAATAAAGAAAACAAACTGAAGGCAGTAATCTTCCTTCCAATCCAGAGGTTACTCACTAAAGAAAAAATATTTCTATTATCTAAAATATGGTAAGTGTTAATAAAAGTAGTGGCAAACTGCTTTTAAAATTAAATATATTCGATCAACACTTTTATCTGCCTTTTAAATATATTTCTTTTTTAATTCTTTTGAGTTATGGGTTTGCACTAAATTGTTGTTTTAAAACTTTGGCTTCTGATGGTTCATTTAATCACTAATAAATATAAGGCATTAATTTTAGAGAAGATTAAGTAGGAGCTGCACGTACTCTCTTCAAAGAAATGCCTGCCATCTGTCATCGCTGAATCACGTTATTCCCATTCAACGTTCCCACATTTTGAGCTTATCCTAAGCCATCGACATTCCGTTTCAAGTTCCCCTTAACTCTGTCGGTCGGCCTGGTATTATTATTATTTTAGTCAGAGTGATAACATCTGCTAATGCCATTCCTTCTGGATACTCGGAACGGCGCTCCCTTCCGCCGGAGATCTTCGCTGGCCGTTTCGAGGGCATGTTCCTCTGTGCGTGTTTATTTGACTTTGACCATTGGCAGCAGCCCCGCAATCTTGTCTGCGAAATCTACTCGGCTAGTACCGCCAACGCTCCGCAAAGAAGAGTTTTAGAGCTTTTTCATACCCTCACAAAGGGTACTTTAATTAGGATTAAAACCCTGGTACAAATACAAGAAAATATATTTTATTTCCTATAAAAAAGCCAGAGTCAAGTCGATTCACATCAAATAACTTTTGTGATAGTTGTAGTAAACATTGCATACTTGAAGTTTAAAATAAAAATATTTTCTTTTAAGTTTGAGCAAAGACTATAGAATATCAAGATGTTGCATGACCTCAAAAAAATCGTTCTATGGTGGGTCTTGATATGGAGACCCACATGACTTTGCACTTTTAAAGGCAGCTAAAACCATATACTCAATTAGTTCGCCGCACTTCATGAAGCCCGGTGGTGTTGTGGTAGATGCTATGCCTCGTGTACATGAAGGCCCGGGTTCGTATCCTCGCCAAGCCCAGCCATATCATAAATTGTTTTTTTTTCTTTTTTGTGTAAATTAATTAATTATTTTATTTTTACATTTTTTTTTTTTTCAATTTTTATGTTTTTATAATTTTTTTGCGTTCATGCAAGTGGTGAACAGCCTGATACAATTATACAAGGTAGTCCACTCGGCAAATTCCATAGTCCCCTAATTTAACTTTGTCAAGTAAGTGTGAGTGAAACGGCATACATTGTGCTTCAGTTTGACAAGCAGGCACGCACTGAAAATAAGGGACCAAAACCGAACGACTTCGGCAAGCCGAGTGAACTACGTTGTATAATTGTATCATGGTGAGCAGCAAAATACCCTAACACGCGTATGTACACGCGCATGTGTGAAAATTTAACGACACAATTATCTGAATAAGGAACATTATTAATATTGCACCTATGAATTCTTTAATTTAATTATTATAAACGAAAAATTATGATTTAAATTAAAATTAAAGAAAATAAAATAATAATGCTTTACAAGTGTGATATACCCTTCTACTATTGTAAAGTGTATAAAGCCCGATAAACTGAAAATTGTCAGCTGTGAACAAATTCCCAATTTGGGAACACGACGAATATTAAAAACGAAGACGAAAGCCGAAAGCAGCAGTTCGTCGTGTTTCTATTTTTAGATTTTCCCTTTTTACCCCGACCGACCGCATCATGAAGCTCGAAACAGAAACGAAAAATTTTTTGTATGGGATGCAACATCTTGATATTCTATAGTCTTTGGTTTGAGCAATGCTTTTATTCTATAAAACTTTGATAAATTGATTAAGAGTATTCAGAGATTCGATCCCCATAAGTCTTTTCAACTTCTTGCTTTTACTTACTTTTTTTGTTTGGTTTTTCGGTAACGCCTCCTTCATTTGGGGCTTATCGCTGGGGCCAAGACCGTTGCAGGCTTTTATAAGCAGCTCGAAGCGAAAATTGCGTCCTGCATCTGTCAGATACTTTGTTGCCGTCTGATTTATTCGGAGCTGGCCGCGGTCGGGCCAGAAGGCCAATCTAAGCACGTTATCCGCCACTCACGCCCCGCCAGCGAAGTCTGCATCCGAGTGGATCAGCACTTGCCTTTCCGCGTTTCCCATCACCAAGGACTGGGACTCCGAGACTCGGTCGCCGCCTCGGCGTTGGCCTAATGCATTTGCATACTCATTGCATTTAATTGCTTCAAAAAATATGTAAAAATTTCCACGTCGTTGTCACGGTCTCGTCTCGTCTCGGCGCTGCGGCCGTGACCATGGCCTATGCCCAAAAAAAGGAGGCCTCGAATTCAGCTAGTAGTGTTGCGGCTACTGATTCACCAGCAGTCGTGGCTCAGTTCAGTTCTTGGGCCACGAATTCGTGGAATTGCTTCCGCATTTGATGGCCAGCGAACAGGATCGGGAGCTGTGAATTGCGAACTGCAAACTGCGAACTGAGAGCCGCGAGCTGTGAGCTGTGAGGAGCTGTAAGCCAAGAACAACAGTTGGCCGGAAAACGTGACTCGGTGGCCGCATACCTGAGTTCCGAGGGCAGGCGTCTTGGCCGCCAAGCTGGTGCGTCGGCATTTAACATAATTACAACCCAGTGACGACTGCACAGTGGGCGACCCAGCGGGAGTTTATCTGGAAAGTGCCCTAGGGGATAAGCCAAAAAAAGGAGTACACATTTGGGAGACAAGGCATGCAAAGTACAGGGGATTCAAATATGTCAGTTAAATCCAGAAAATATTGTTACAATCCAAGGGGTATTCAGCATAAAATTTAAACTTTTAGATTCATTGTGTCAAAAAAAAATAACTAAGCAATACATTGTTTAATTTTTTATTGGTAACAAACAAGAGTTTTATATTCTTTTTGGTCAAGTTTGAGTTTCTTGGAATAAGCTCAACTTTATCCCACTGTTCTTCCCAATAACAGCGGCAGATGTGCAATCAGCCAGGCTCTTCCCTCAATTCTGCAAATCTCCTTCTGTCTTTCGGTTGTCCTCCTCATTCTCCGCTTCTGTACAGTTGTGTTTATTGCTCTACTTAGGCCATCGCTTTGGGGAATGCTGCTCATCCCAGTAATTTGGCCCTAATCACTGCTAACTCTGATCGGCTGCACAGCTAGAAAATATCAAATATTAATATCATATGATCATATCATATGATCGCGTTATCATTACAATAACAATAGAATTCAAGATTTAAACATTCAATTTGGGTACTCTTATGTTGAAAATATTCTGTATTATTATTCCGTATCTTTCCATTCTAATCCCTTTTGAATTGCTTCTTTCACCCGTAGAACGAGCCGGAATGCACGCCGGAGTTGCCCGCCGCGAATCGCGCGCTCTTCCTGGAGAAGGTGCGCCAATCGAACGCCGCCTGTCAGAGTGGAGATTTTGCCACAGCAGTGTTGCTCTACACGGATGCCCTGCAGCTGGATCCGGGTAACCACATCCTGTACAGCAATCGCTCGGCGGCGCTGTTGAAGCAAGGACAATTCGCAGCCGCCCTGCAGGATGCAACGCAAGCGCGGGACTTGTGCCCCAAATGGCCGAAGGCGTACTTTCGCCAGGGAGTGGCACTCCAGTGTCTGGGTCGTTATGGCGAAGCCCTGGCATCCTTTGCCTCTGGATTGGCCCAAGAGCCAACCAACAAGCAGTTGATGGGTGGCCTGGTGGAGGCGTCCCTGAAGAGTCCTTTGCGAACGGCACTGGAACCCACGTTGCAGCAATTGCGCACCATGCAGCTGCAGGAGTCGCCGTTCGTGGTCAGCTCGGTGGTGGGTCAGGAGCTCCTCCAGGCGGCTCAGTATCCCGCAGCGGTGTCCGTTCTGGAAGCAGCTCTAAGGATTGGCAGTTGCTCCCTGAAATTGAGGGGTTCCGTATTCAGCGCCTTGAGTTCCGCTCACTGGGCTTTGAATCAACTGGATCAGGCCATAGGTTACATGCAACAGGATCTGGCGGTGGCCAAGTCCTTGGGAGACACGGCAGGCGAGTGTCGGGCTCATGGAAACCTGGGATCCGCCTACTTTAGTCAAGGAGCCCACAAGGAGGCACTCACAGCACATCGCTACCAACTGGTTTTGGCCATGAAGTGCAAGGATACCCAAGCGGCGGCAGCAGCGCTGACCTCCTTGGGTCACGTGTACACGGCTAGCGGGGATTACCCCAATGCCCTGGCCTCCCACAAACAGTGTGTGCAGCTGTTCAAGCAGCTGGGAGATCGACTGCAGGAGGCGCGGGAGATCGGCAACGTGGGAGCGGTTTACTTGGCGCTGGGAGAGTGTGAAGCCGCCTTGGATTGCCACTCGCAGCACCTGAGATTGGCCAGGAAGCTGCATGACCAGGTGGAGGAGGCCAGGGCGTACTCCAATCTGGGTTCGGCTCATCATCAGCGGCGGCAGTTCACCCAGGCAGCCGCCTGCCACGAGCAGGTGCTCCGGATTGCCCAGGCTCTGGGGGATCGCTCCATGGAGGCGGCCGCCTATGCGGGATTGGGTCATGCGGCTCGCTGTGCCGGCGATGCGAGTGCCTCGAAGAGATTCCACGAACGCCAGCTGGCCATGGCTCTGGCCGCGAGGGACAAGCTGGGCGAGGGCAGGGCGTGCTCCAACCTGGGCATCGTCTACCAAATGCTGGGATCCCACGACGCCGCCTCGAAGCTCCATCAGGCGCATCTGGGCATTGCCCGTTCGCTGGGCGATCGAGCGGGCATGGGCAAGGCGTATGGGAACATGGCCAGGATGGCTCACATGGCTGGGTCCTACGAGGCGGCGGTGAAGTACCACAAACAGGAGCTGGCCATCAACCAGGCGATGAACGATCGCAGTGCCGAGGCGGCCACGCATGGCAATCTGGCGGTGGCCTACCAGGCTCTGGGTGCCCATGATGCCGCCTTGACCCACTACAGAGCTCACTTGGCCACCGCTAGATCCTTGAAGGACACCGCTGGCGAGGCGTGTGCCCTGCTGAACCTGGGAAACTGCCTCAGTGGCAGGCAGGAGTACGAGGAGGCGGTGCCGCACTACGAGAGCTACCTGATGCTCGCCCAGGAACTGGGTGATGTGGCAGCCGAGGGAAAGGCCTGCCATCTCCTTGGCTACGCGCACTTCTGCCTGGGCAACTATCGGGCTGCTGTGAGGTACTACGACCAGGATCTGGCCCTGGCCAAGGATGCCCAGCATCGACCGAACATGGGAAGGGCCTACTGCAATCTGGGCTTGGCTCATCTCGCCTTGGGACACACTGCCGCCGCCTTGGAGTGCCAGCAGTTGTTTCTAGCGGTGGCACATGCCACCAACCAGCTGCCTGCCAAGTTTAGAGCCCTGGGAAATATTGGAGACATCCTCATAAGGACGGGATCTCACGAGGTGAGTTTAAAGGAGTTTTAAAACGTAATTGATCTATACAAATTTTTATATACAATTTTTTTAAAGAAATAAACTGCTTAAGTATTTTTTCTTTAATATTGTAGTTAAAATTTCTTAAAAAACTAAGACTAACTAGGGAAAGTTGCAGTACTAGCTGCTGAGGCCATCGACTGTCTGAAATTATATTATGTGATATAATTATTTACAATTTACCTATAAATTTTTTTTTTTTATTTTTTAAGTAATTTAAGAGCACAGAATCTTTTAGTGAATGAAACTGCTTAAGTAGCACAGAATCTTTACTTAATTTTTAAATCTTTTCCAGGAGGCCATCAAATTATATCAGCGGCAGTTAGCTTTAGCCAGAGCAGCTGGCGACCGATCCATGGAGGCAGCTGCCTGCGGAGCTCTAGGGTTGGCCCATCGACTGATGAGAAGATGGGACAAGGCGTTGGGTCACCACACCCAGGAACTAACGCTGCGCCAGGAGCTGGGCGACCTGTCCGGCGAGTGTCGTGCCCATGGACACTTGGGAGCAGTGCACATGGCCCTCTGCAGTTGGACAAATGCCGTGAAGTGCTATCAGGAGCAACTGGAACGGGCTCAGGAGCAACGGGATGCTGCAGTGGAGGCCCAGGCGCATGGCAACCTGGGAATTGCTCGTCTGAATATGGCCCACTATGAGGCGGCCATCGGGTGCTTGGAGGCGCAGTTGGGAACCCTGGAGAGAGTCTCCCTGCCCTCCACTCAATCGGACCGTGCTCGAGCCCTGGGACACCTTGGCGATTGCTACGCCGCCTTGGGAGATTACGAGGAGGCCATCAAGTGCCATGATCGGCAGCTTCAGCTGGCCTTGGGGTTGGCCAGTCATCGGGATCAGGAGCGCGCCTACCGAGGATTGGGTCAGGCACGCCGGGCGCTGGGACAACTGCCGGCTGCCTTGGTTTGCCTGGAGAAGCGCTTGGTGGTGGCCCATGAACTGCACAGTGCGGAGATCAAGGCACTGGCCTACGGAGATCTGGGTCATGTGCATGCCGCCTTGGGTAACCACACCCAGGCTCTGAACTGCCTGGAACATCAGCGGGAACTGGCACAGGGTCTCCAGGACCGCACCCTCGAATCGGATGCCATGTGCGCCCTGGGTCAAGTGCAACAGCGGATGGGTCAGCACTCGGAGGCCATGGAACTGCATCGGCAGGATCTGCAGATCTGCACGGAACTCGCTGCTCCCGCCTTGCAAGCCCGAACCTTGAGTAATCTGGGATCTGTCCACGAATCCCTGGGTCAGCAGGCAGAAGCCCTCAAGTGCTATGAACGCCAACTGGAGCTGAGTTCGGATCGCTTGGCCAAGGCAATGGCCTGCTTGGCCCTGGGAAGGGTGCACCATCAGCTGGAGCAGCACAGCCAGGCGGTGGACTATCTGCGGCAGGGATTGGCGAGTGCCCAGTCCATGGGAAAGTCAGAGGAGGAGGCCAAGATAAGACATCAATTAGGTGAGTGAAAGATATCAGAAAATGCACATATATTAACCATTTTTTGAGCTCTTATAAAATAATGGTTATTAATTAGTAAAAAGAGCTTTTTATTTAATGGTTATTAAGTAAACAGAATAAACGGTTTAACTATTTACTTGTTAAAGATAAATTTAAAACTTTAACTCAACAAATAATGAAGCAAAAATGTGAATGAAATTATTCTTTTTACATAAGATATAATATATTAACCATTTTAAGCTTCAATAGCTATTAAAAAATAATAGTTTATTAATAGTAAAAAGAGTTCTTTATTTAATGGTTATAAAGTTAACCAAATAAACGGTTTAACTATATACTTGTTAAAGCTATATATAAAACTTAAACTCAACAAAATTATCAAATTAATTCTTCAATATATCTTATTTATTCTGTTTTGTCTTTAGGTCTTGCCCTTCGCTCCTCTGGCGATGCCGAGGGAGCCCACCTCCAACTGGAGACCGCCGCCCAGCTGCTGGAGTCCGTGCGCCACGAGCAGCGAAGTCCGGAGACGCGACTCTCGCTCTATGATCTGCAGACCAGCTGCTACAAGTTGTTGCAAGTGCTACTGGTGGCACTGAATCGAAACGAGGATGCTTTAGTGGCCGCCGAACGGTGCAAGGCTCGTGGAGGAGCCGATGCCGTGAGCGGGGAGAGCTCCAAGGTGCCGTTGGCCAACAGTGAGGGCATCCAGGAGACCGTGAACCGAGGAAGGACGTCCGTTCTCTACTACAGTTTGGCCGGGGAGCAACTATTCGCCTGGTTTCTGCAACCTCAAGCGGGAATCGTGCGTTTCCATGCTGCACGAATCGATGCACACAGCCTGCAGCTTCCCCTGTCCCTCAGCGAGGAGGAGGAGGAGCTGGAGATGCAGAGGGAGCTGGATGTGGAACAGGAACCGGAGCAGGATCAGCAGAACTCCAAGCAAGCCAATGGTTTGCTGGATCGATACGTGAACTTGGTAAGGGACAATCTGGGTGTGAACTCCCAGGTTCTCCTGCACGAAGGAGACGGAAGTGGCTGGCGAGCCAGCACGGAACAGCTGCTGGAGGATCTGCCTGGAGCTGGAGGCGCCGGTGGAGGAGGTTTCCTGCGCATGGTCAACCGGAATCAGCTCCTCAACTCCTCGAATTACTCGTTGAGTTCACTGTTCTCGGTGGGATCGGTTGGTGGCTCCGTGGCGAGCCTTCAGGGTTCCACGCGGTCCGTTGGCAGTCGCAGTTCCCGCAGAGCTCCATCGCTGCCCACCTGGCGAGGTCCCTCCTGCCTGCACACCCTCTACAATTTGCTACTGGCTCCCTTTGATGACCTACTGCCTCCCGGAGGAGCAAACGCAAGTCGACAAGGCAGAAGGGAACTCATCCTGGTGCTGGATAGCGCTCTCTACCTGGTGCCTTTTCCCATTTTGAGGGCAGCTCGCGAGGATGGGGAGTATCTGTCGGAAAGGTGCGCCATCCTCACCGCTCCTTCGTTGCAATCTCTGCGAAGTCGCCCGAGGACCAGAAGAGATCGAGCTCGTCCTCCAAAAGCTCTGGTGGTTGGCGGACCTCGCATTCCATCCTCCCTCGCGGAACGTTGGGGTTGGTCCGGTGCGGAATCACCTGCCGCTCTGCAGGAGGCCGCCATGGTGGCAGACATGCTGCAGGCCACAGCTCTGGCCGGATCCAATGCCACCAAGGAGTCCGTTCTCGCGGAATTGCCCTCCGCCGAGTGCATTCACTTCGCCGCGAATCTCAGCTGGCAATCGGCGGCAGTCGTCCTGAGTCCCGGAGACGTGGTCACCGCCGAGCAGCAGCAGCAGAAGGAGCCGCACGAGCCGCAGATGGCGGACTTCACCCTGGCCACTGGGGAACTGAGGCAGCTGCGCTTAAGTGCCCGCTTGGTGGTGATGAGCTCGTACCACTCGGTGGAACCCATCACCGGCGAAGGAGTGGCCCAACTGGCGGGCGGTTGGCTTCTGGCCGGAGCAGGAGCTGTGCTCATTTCACTGTGGCCCGTCCCGGAAACGGCTGCCAAGATCCTGCTGCGTGCCTTCTACTCCGCCTTGTTGCAAGGTGCCCGAGCAGCTGGGTAAGTTGTAGTAACTTCTTAAGCTTCCCTGGAAATCCTAATGACCTTATTATTTCTTTCAGTGCCTTGGCGGAAGCCATGCAAACTGTGCAGCATACGAAGCACTTTGCCCATCCGGCCAACTGGGCTGGCTTCCTTCTGGTGGGCAGCAATATCAGGCTATCGAACAAGGTGGCACTGGGTCATGCCCTTTGCGAACTCCTCCGCACTCCGGAGCGTTGTCGGGATGCTCTGCGCGTCTGCCTGCATCTGGTGGAGAAGAGTCTGCAGAGGATTCATCGCGGCCAGAAGAATGCCATGTACACCACCCAGCAGAGCATCGAGAACAAGGCAGGTCCCGTTGCCGGCTGGAAGGATCTGCTGATGGCTGTGGGCTTCCGCTTCGAACCGGCAGCCAATGGCATTCCGTCCAGCGTGTTCTTCCCCCAAGCGGATCCCGAGGAGCGATTGTCCCAGTGCTCGGCGAGCCTCCAAGCTCTGCTCGCCCTAACTCCAGCCACGCTCCAAGCTCTGGCCAAGTTGGTCCATGTGAACAGTGCGGAGCATGCGGAAGACATAATTGCCGTGGTGCGGAACATCCTGGATCAGTTTTCCGATTCGAATCAGGGCACCAGCTCGAGCTCCATAAAATCGGATGTGATCGCCGAGTCCTGCTTCATAGAGATGCCGCTGAGTGTAAGACTTTGGCGAGTGGCTGGATGCCATGAGCTACTCGCCTCCGTGGGCTTCGATCTGACGGAGGTGGGTGCAGACCAGGTGATTCTACGCACTGGAAAGCAGGCCAACAGGCGGCAGTGCCAGTTTGTGCTGCAGGCACTCCTTGCTTTGTTTGGTAAATATAATAAAAAAAAAAAAAAAAAAAAAAAAAAAATAGGATGCTAACAATATTTCGTTTCCACTTTAGACACCCGCGAAGCACCCAAAACCCTGGGAATGAATTACAACTCCGACAACAGCAGCAGCTGCGAATCTCTAGCGGAGCCGGAACTGGATGCCCCACCAATGCCGCCGGTGGCCAGCAGCACACCCTCCGTAAACGGCGCTGCGAAGGCTCCTCTGCCGCTGCATCCGCGAAGTGCCTTCATCTCCTATGTGCGACGTCGTGGAGAACCGGATGGTGGACGAACGGAAGCGATTGGGGGAGCGGCAGGAGCGGGAAGTAACTGCTTGGACTCCAGTCTGGCCAACACCACCGACAGCGAGCAATCCCTGTCGGATGGCTATGCCACTCAGCCTGGTTTCGGTCTCTCCAATCCGCGACTCGGTTACGCCAGCATGCGTGCTCCGGTGAGGGTTTCCCGACCAGGAGGCGGTGGCGAAAGCGATGCAGCCTTTACTCCCAGCCCACCGGTGACCGATCCCAGTTTGTCACTGGCTTTGGCCCACCAAACGCGCATCAGGAGCTTGTATTCACAGACCAGTTCTGCAGCTTCCGCTCCTGCGATGTCAACAATTAACAACCGCAGACCCGATAGCTCCAGTTCGGCGAGTAGCACCACGGATTGGGAGGGATCCGGACATGCCACGGTGCTCAGGCGTGCAGTTAACTCAGCTATGCCGCAGCAGGCGCCTCCACTGCCACCGCCACGCCCACCAACCTTTCACAATTTGGGCGTGGGCGCTGGAGGACGCAGCAAACCCAAGATCAAGTTGGGCAGTGCCCAGAGCTCGCTGGCAGCACGGGTAAACAAGGAGCATGCCCTCTTCATGGACAGGTTGAGTGTCAGGACGGAGTTGAATGCACCTGGAGCCTCGAATGCCATGCCCAGTGGATCTACCACACGAAAACCTTTGGCTCTCCCGGAGGAAGAGGAGGTTTCCAATGTGGTCTTCAATCCTTCAAGCTTGTACTTCTCGCAATCAGATGGCGATCTGCTAAACGAGCCAAAGCAGGAGGAATCCCCTCCAGCAAGCAAATCCAGTTCCAAGTGCCTGCAGGACAGCATGATGCGCCACATGAACCGCGAACTGACTCCCAGCATATCGGAGCTGTATCACGAACGGAACGTGGGCCTGGGATTGGCTCCGCCGCTTTCCAAGCTTTTACTGAGTCCAAACTACGAAGAGCAGGAGGTGGTTTCCATGGCCGAGGGCTGTCCACAATCGGGAGCTGGCCTTAAAACTCTGGTGGATGCTGTCAACGAACTGGAGCTGAGTGGCAGCTCATCCGGAGCCACCATGCCCACTGTGGTGGGTGGCGGAGGCAACGAAGGCGAGGGATCTACAGCCACCGTTGTGGAGGCCACCTGTCCAATTTGTGGCGAACCTGCTGATGTGATCTGTCGCTGCAAGGCGGCCACCATTCAGAAGAAGAGCATCCTGAAACCCTGGCTGAGCAACGTACCCGATAGCAGTTTGGTGCAGGCCAGCGAACTGACCACGGCGGACATATTGGAGCGTCGCCTGGAGATTCACACGTCCTCTGCCGGAGCTCCCTACTCCGTTGATCTGTGTCGCAGGGATGAGGGCGATGGAAGATCGGTGGCGGACTCACAGTGCAGCAGCAACTACAAACGAGTCCTGGCCAGCGTCAACGGAGGAGCAGTTAGCCTTGTGGGGATTAGCAATGGAAACGATGCGGAGGCACAGAGCACTCCCTCGGGAGCCACCTGCTCATCTGCCCGCCTCGTCTAGCCTTATTAATTTATTATCCAATGTATTTATTGTTTGGTTCTCAACGAACGTCTTTTATGTATACTTTATCTTCATAACCAAGCCACTGATTAAAAATTATTCAATTACTTTTTAAAGATCATAAGATAATAAATTAAATAGAATACGAATTAGCAAAAATAAACTGTTAAACTGAATCAAAAATAAAATGGTTGTTTTATTTACCCGTTTTTTTTACCCATTCAGATCTCTGTAAAATACCTTAAAAAAAAACTCAATGTCCCAAATTTTGTTTTAAATTTTTCTTTATATAAGTCACGTAATTTATGTTCAATTTGTTGCCTTAAAATTCGGTTCCCATTTCCATACAATCTTGTATACGAAAACATATTTACCGCCGTGTGTGAAAGCAGAGAAGTTATTCTGGGATTTGGTAACTAATGTAACTAATTTTATTTTGTTTTACTTAGTTTTTTACAGGTTTCAATAATTTATCTTTTGTGTATGTTCTTTTTGTTTTATAATTTATTTAGTAATATAGCTGCAATAATATAGCTGCATTTGTTTTTGTTTTTGTATATATATAAATATGTATGGATCTTCACTTTACAGTTCTTAAATGTTAACTACGCAAAATCTGGTTTCATTTTTTGTTTTATGTTTTTTTTTTTTTGTCGTTTGTGTGCCATTGAATATGCTTGCAAGACTCCTACAGTAAACTTTCATAATTAGTATATATAGCTACAATATATTTATATCAATGTGTATATTCAAAATGTGAAATAAAAAACTGCATTTAAAAATATGTTTCCTTTGTTTAGTTTTTTTTGTTTGCCACTCCATCGTTACACCGTTTGCTTTTGTTGGCCTTATGGTTTTAGTTCTTTTAAATATTGTATGTATTCAATGCATTCTTTTTTGCGTATAATAAATTGTATAAATTACTAATATAAATTAAGCACTCAAAATTACAGCTGCTTCAAATGCTTGCGTGACACATCAATATATCGCTGTGCTTTTGGGTTTGAGAGCAGCATCAAAAATCATTCACATAATAACTATTTCGTTATATTTTATGCACTTTTTACAAACTTTCGCAGCCCGCCCTTATAATACTCTAGTCATAGCAAAATAATAAATAATGAGTAGCAGTTAGTTGGTAGGCAAAGCTGCTCGCTAGGCTAACACAAACGGGGACTACAAAAAGCGAAATCTAGGCATTGGCGTGATTCGTTTTTTATTTTATTTTAGCTAAAAAGACGAAAGCAGCAAGCATATATAAACCGTACATTAAATAGTTCAATTGTGGCTGGAAGTACATTTAAATAATATTAGGCGTATCTATCGGGTAGAGTGTGTCAAAATGTGGGTAGTAAAAAGAAAATCTATCTCCGAATCCATTTGTACAGAACACTCGAATACATTAACGCTCCTCGATCCCTGCTGCTATCCTTAATCGTTTCACTATACTAATTTATGTACCTTGCCTCCTGCAGCAAGCGCTGGTGAGTTTGTGTTTTGGTTTTGCTTAGTCATCGTCGTGTCTAAATCAATCGATTTGCAGAGCTTACTAAATAGTTCTTGTCGAAGTGCAGCACATTCGCATCTATAAGCAGCTTGAAAACCTCAATAAAAATTTGTGTGCCGAGTTCGTTTTTGTTCCATTGCCTTAATAAGTCTAAACCGTATTTAACATGTTTCATCATCGTCATCTCGCTTAGGTTTAAGAATTTAACACTATACACTATGAAGAGGATACTTAAGATATTGCGACCATCGTGTCCTGTTTTTGTTTTTGTTTTGTTTTGTTTAGTTTAGTTTTGTAGTTGGTTTCTGCTTTTTCTGCTTTTTGATTCTGGATGCCTTGGTCAGTAATTGTGTCTAGTGTGAAGTGTGGTGTGTGCAGCTGGAGCGATCCACGATCCACTTCCGATTAACGCAGCTGATTCCTATTCAGCAAAACATTCTTATTAGATCGAGCACAATCAAATCATGAGTTAAACATTAAGATGAGTTAAAGCCATAAGGATGAGTAAAAATCAAGAGGGGCTTACTAACTTTTTACATAAAAACGTGACAAGGCGTTGCGCAACTTAGAGTCGCTTGGTTTTTCTGGTTTCTGGTTTTCTGGATTCTTGAGCCATGACGTCGTCTCTGCTGATGATGTTGATGATTGGATTTGTGGTGAGTATATGTGGGGGTCGGATGTGTGGAAAACAAAATGTAAACGCTTGAACACAAAAATCACACAAAGCAGTTCCTCACGGCCGCGGCCCGAGTATTGTCTTTGTTCAGTTGCTTGCTCTCTACAATTGCTATCTGTCCACTTATCTGGGCCGTTGTCTGTGGGGATGAGAAAGAGCGGGCGATGATCAAACGGAAACGGAAACAGAAACAAGAGTGCAACATAAACAATAAATAACGATGGAATATATAACTACAAATGAAGTGAATGAGCCTAGCTTCAATTTTGAAGAAACACAGATCAGAGATCCTTCAACATAACACTTATCCAATTTACAATTTTCTTGGATTTCCAATCATATTAACAAAACACATTATGATCCTTAATATAATATTGGTACTTATCGTTCTTAAGATGTCTCAGAAATCCATTTATATAACATTTAAAATATTATACTTCTACTTTTCATTGCACAGATTGTATAGTTCGATTTTAGTAACTTTTCAAAATATATAAAATAGATTTCCAAGACACCCTCACAATATATTTTCCTGCTCCTAACCGGACTCACCTAAAGTACTGATCATGCAGGGACTGTCGCTGGAACTCGGCGGCCTGTAAATACTGTATATATGTAATTAATGAGTTAGGATGTGGGTTGGGGAATTGGGAAACCTGTAGTTGGTCGGCATAGGACATGCGCAGCAGGACATCCGAGTGCGGCTCCCTAGGTATAAGCATATTTGGCCGCGGATACTGGCCAACATTCGCTAAAAATCCAAACGGAGAAAAGGAGAAAAGAAATATATTAGTTATATTGATGTTCGTAGGGACGAGCCAAAAAGTATTGGCGAAAACCTCAAGGGCTATACAAACTCACGTGGCAGTTGGAAACCGGCCTCCGGTGGTTGCGGCTGTGGATGCAAAGGCAAATGTAAATGAGTATGAGAGTGTGCATGATATTCTCTCGTCAATCGTATCTGAAAATTATTGAATATCGTAGAAAGTTTCAAAAGAGCCAGTGCTGCGTGGGCGATATCGCGCCAATAGAAGAGATTAAAACAGAGTTTTATGTAACGATGCGTAATGCGGGTTAGATGGCTGGCGACAAATGTCGATTTGATTCGATTTGGTTTTTTGGTTTGGTTAGGTGCCCCATTTGGTGGGACAAAAGCATGGCATGGCAAATAATGGTTAGCACAGAACATGAACAGCATGACGGGACACGTGCTTGGGTGTATTTTAATTTTTTATGCGGGTACTGGACTGGTTAACAGGTGAGCTGACAAGTGGACAAAGTGATTGGTTCGGTTTGGCGGTTCATTCGATCGCTTGACGTTCCAAATACGATTGATTTTGTGAATATGAGTCGAGTGGAGTAAAAAAGAAGTGTAGCCTACCATACGCACCATGTGCTCGCCCGGGTCCAACCCCACATGGTGCGGAGGTGGAATGCCCAGACGCTCCCTCTCCATCTGCGATATCGCGGGATTCGCATACAGTGGGAATTGCGAGGGATGGATGCCGCTGTTGGAAAAAGATCTAAACAATTAATTTCGTGTCTTATTATCGAAAATAAAAAAAACTTTTACGGACCGTCTATAGTACTCCATCCAGTGCGGATCTAGTCGGGATTGACTCGCCGCAGCAGCTTGTGCGTTCTTGATCTCCTCCAGTTCCCTACAAATAGAAAATATTATTTACGATCACCAGGTTTAAAGGCTGGCAGCAGGGAAATGTGTTTTTTGGCTGGGGTTGGGCAAAATTGCAAATGATAATAAGCTCAAGCAAAATTTTCGACGTGCGCATAAAAAGTTATTCCGAATTTTAAGAAGCTGGCGGGGAATAAGCGGGGGAAATGTTGGTGCGATTCCAAATGCTTTTGGGTTTGGCAAATGGTTTGGGTTATGGAGTTGTTAGTGCGTTTCGGAATACTTTTGATATATTTAATTAATTAAGAACGTAAAGTGATAAGTTCCAAGTGATTGTTTTTCCTATTCCATGGAATGAATTATTTTTAGACATGGGCAAATAACTACGGGGTTATTAAATATATTTTAGTATTTATTATAAATGTTTAAGAATCGTAACAATTACAGATGATTTTTGTCATAAGAATATATAATTCTTTTTTATATAATTCTTTTTTTTTATAATTCTTTTTTTTTTAATTCTTTTTATATAATTCTTTTTTTTATATTATTGGATTAGAATTTTTTAGGTTAATCAAAAGATCCCGAAATGCACTTTATAAAATGAGGAAAAGGGAAATGATGTGAATTGAATTTTGATGAGATGTGTGTGAAATCAATGGGGCGTGAGCGGGTTAATGGTTGTGTGTTTGGATATGTGACATGACTTTCGCATGGAACTGGGGGCTTGGCAGGCTTTGGTACTGTACCTCTCTCTGTACATGGGGCCCATTGGATGATGATATGGCACCATCTGCTCAACAGGACTGAAATTGAATTGAATGGAAAGAATTACAATCAACAAACGCGACTCGTTGGACTCCTGCATGGAGCTTAAATCAGGAATAGCTAAACGACAGAGGCAAAATGAACTGAATCCTAACACCAGACGAACGATTCCAGGGGCGAGTGGTTCCTTCAACCCCGCGAAACTCACCTGAAGGCGACGTGAGGACGAGCATACTCGGACAATTGCCGAAGAGCCGGAGTATCTGCATACGGAGGCTTCAGTTCCGCCTTCATCTTGGCCTGTTGCGCCGCTTGTTGCGCTGCTGCCGCTTGCTGTTGTTGCTGCTGCTGCTGCTGTTGCTGTTGCTGCTGTAAAGGATAGACAATCTAATTAAATTTTCAGTTAGGTTTGGATGTTAGCTTAACTCACCTGACGGCGCTCGCGCTCCTTCTCGGCCAGCTTGCGATCGCGCTCTTCACGCTTGCGAGCCAACTTCGAGTCGGCCACTGGCTTGAAGATCAAATCCGTTCTCGTGCACGAATTGTAATCTCCTCGATCGATGTGGCGCACAAATCTGTTGGTCAGCAAATATTTTATTTAATTAGTCAACAATTTAAATTGTAATTCTAGCTGTTAAGATACTTACATGGCAGACTGAGAGCGATGGCATTCGGTGTCGTCCGGTTTCGCCTCGGGACTGGGACCACGTGGTATATTGTGCGTGGGACTGGGAATCTCCGGCTCCGGATCCGGCTCAATATCAATGGGTACTTGAAAGAGAAACGATTTTATATTAGATCAAGAAGTAGTTTTATATCATAAGTCTTACATGGCTCCGTGGGATGATGTCCTCCGCCCAATCCCGCCGAATTGGCCGAGTGTGCGTGCGCTCGCAGGGCGTCCATGTGCGAAGTTGGCTTCAGGCCATGGGGCTGACCGTCTTGCGGCGCAAAGGGTGATCCGTGCGGCGGTCCAGGCGGATATCCGGGCATATGGCTTCCGGGATAGGCACCCGGCGGCAGTCCCGTCGGTGTTCCCGGTCCGCCCATGCCCGGCGGCATCCCGCCACCCGGTCCCTGCGGCGTCTTTGGCGTCGGCGGCTTGTTGGGCGGCATTCCGCCGGGCTGCGGCTGCTGCGGCGCCTTGTGCTGCTGAGCTGCTGCTGCTGCGGCAGCTTGGTGTTGCTTTTCAGCTGCAGCTGCTGCTGCTGCGGCCGCCGCTGCATTCTGTTCATCCTGACGCATCTGCTGGGGCGGTGGTCCCTGCAAGCCGGCATGATGGGCCGCCATCACGGCAGCGGGATCCAGTTGTCCCGGCTGCGGCGGTGGCTTCATGTAGGCCGGGAATCCGGGACCGTAAGGCGCATAGCCGTAGGGCGAGTTGAAGGGATGGTGGTGCGGCGAGTAGAAGACCGAGGGATGCAGCAGCGGGTGCGGGTACGGCGACTGCCCCGGATGCACTCCGATTTGCGGCAGTCCCCCACCCGGTGCAATCAGTGGCAGCGGCAGCGGCATCTGCGGGTGTCGGATGACCGGCGGCGAGGCTCCCGGCCGCAAGTGCGGTGGCGGCGACGTCCCCAAGCCCCGCTGTCCCGGCTGAGGGGCGTACATCTTGCTCAGCGGACTGGCCATCAGCGAGGCGTTCGACACCGGCGGCGGTGTCATGTGCGGCGACTGCTGGCGCATCAGCGCATGCCGATCCCTTTCCGCCACGGCGGCTGCTGCGGCGGACAGCGCCGACGACGAGGGATGATGGCTGAGCGGGGACTGTGGCACCGGATGCAACGGACTCTGGCGACTCAGGCTGCTGACACTGGACGCCGGCGAGGCCGCTCGATGAGCAGCCGCTGCTGCAGCTGCCGCCGCCGCGGCCGAGGAGTTGGGCAGCCCGCCGGGTCCAACGCTTCCGGGGCCCGACGGACCTCCTGCTCCTGCTCCTCCGCCTCCGCCACCGCCGCCACTCGAGATCTGCACGCTGGGACTAGCGCGGCTAAAGGCGGACGATGGCACCGTGCTGGTGGTCAGCGACATGCTGGTGGACGTCATGCTGGCCACCGAGTGCGGCGTCAGCGGAGCCGACGAGGCGTGCGAGTGTGGCAGGTGAGAGGGCGGGGTGCGGCGACTGAGAGCGGACTCCGGGATGCCCCCGAGTCCGCCTGGTCCGGCCAGCAGGGCGATGGGTCCACCGCCGGGTCCCAGGCCCGCTATCGAGTGCGACAGCAGATGGTGTCCCGGATGGGCCAGCGCTGCGTGGGCCGGATGGCCGGGTGGCAGGTGCGCCAGATGCGGGTGTATGGCCATCGGATGCCCGATCAATCCCGGCGGCGGCGGACCACTGCCGGCGAGACCAGGCAGCGGCGATGTGCGGTGCGCATGCGGCGACTGTTGCGGCGGCGGTCCACCCGGTGGTCCACTCGATCCCGCCATCGTGGTCGAGGGCTGCGAACTGGGCGGCGGGTCGCGAGACGACTGCGAATCGTGCATGGATCTCGGCGGCTGCTGGGCAGGTGATGGCGTCCGCACCGTGCCCGCTGGTCCGCCGGGCGGCTGTTGTTGCTGCTGCTGCTGCTGCGACTGCTGCTGTTGTTGGGGAGCGTGCGACGGCGGCAGGCCGTGACCATGCTGCGGATGTCCCTGCAGCGAGAGCGGCATGGGCGCATGTGGATGCATGCTGGGCGGCAGGTCGTGCGGCCGATGGAGTCCCTGCAGATGCGCATGCGGATGGAGATGCGGGTGCATGTGCGTGGGCGCCATGGTGGACAGCGTCGGCGGGATGCCAATGGAGCTGGGCGGCAGCGACGACGCCACCGAGAGCTGCGGATGCTGGTGACCGGGATGCAGGCCGTGTTGCAGGCTCGGTGGACCCGGACCCGGAGCCGTCGGCGTCGGCTGGTGCAGCGAAGTGGGCGGCGGCGGCGGCTGGGGACCACCACTGCCGGCCGCTGACGTTGGTGGCGGGCCGTGGATGAGATTTTGCGGATGCATCCCGGGTGGCAGGCCACCGCCGGCCGGCGAAGGCATGTGCGGCGAGGGATGCGGCGACTGGAACTGCTGCGGCTGCGGCGGCATCGACGGCGGCTGCGAGTTGCTGTTGCTGCCCTGGCTATCCTGGCCGGGCGTCGAACGCGCCGAGGCGTCGATCGGACTCTCCGGCGGCGGTCCGTACGGCGAGGACTTGATCAGATTCTCGCCGCCGTAGGGCTTCACGTCCGCGGGTCCTCCGGCCTGTGAGACCGGCGGCATCGGGTACTTCAGGTCCTGCGGCGGACCGTACTTGGCCGCCAGCGGATCGCCGTACTTGAGCATCAGGCCGGATGGCTCGAACGGCCTTCCCAGCGGCGGCGTCTGCACGTCGTGCTGGTAGTGCGGCTTGGGCATGGCAATTCCCGGCGGCGGAGTGGCTCCCGGCGGCACCTGATGCGCCGGTGGCTGCGGCTGCTGTTGTTGCTGCGACTCCTGCGACGTGGGCGGTGGCCCGTACTTGTGGGCGACGTCCAGCGGAGAGCCAACGTTGTGCGGCAGGTGACCGAAACCGGGCTTGACATCGGGTATCTTCAGGGAATCCTGGTAGCCCGGCTTGCTAGGCGGCTGGTGGGCAGCGGACAACTCCACGGGATACTTGCCCTGCTGCTCCATCATGTACTTCATGTCGTACTTGCCGGCAGCAGCCGCTGCAGCCGCCGCCGCCTGCATCTCCTGGCTGTACTTGAGTGCATCCAATGGCGGCGGCGGTGGATACTTGAGATCCTGGGGCGCGAACTTCATCTCCATCTCGGGCGGATACTTTTGCGGCGTTGTCGGCGCTCCTGGCGGTGCTCCGCTGCCTCCGCCCGCCGCATCGCTGTGCAGTTGAGGTGGCTGCGGTGGAACACCTTGTCCCGGAGGTCCATACTTCAGCTGCCCGTCGATTAGGTAGCCAGGTGGCGGTTGCGTGGGCAGCGGACCATGCGGCATGTGCTGCAGGTGCAACGGCTCTGGCTGGCCACTTTCGACCGGAGCTCCCGAGAGCGGATGCAGTGCCGAAGGCGGAGCACCGGGACCACTGGGCGGCAAGCCGCCCGCACTGTGCTTGAGGGCATCCTCGTTCTTGATCTCGATCTTCACCTTCAGGTCCTGCGGCTCGTTGCTGTTCTGGTTGCAGGTGGCGTCCATCGAGTCCTCCATGGGCTCCTTCTTGATGTACACCGATTCCGAGGGCGGGCACACTGGCGGTGGCTGAATGCCAACGGGGGCGAGTTGCTGCTGCAGCTGCTGTTGCGTTTGCTGCTGCAAGAGCTGCTGCTGCTGCTGTTGCTGCTGCTGCTGCTGTGGCGAAACCTCCTGCTTGATGGTGGCCAGCTTCTTGAGCATCTCGGGGTCGCTGTCGCACGACTCCATCTTCTCGATGGCCTCCTTGCGCTCCACGGACGCATTGAGCGCCTCCACCGTGGCAATTGTGGGCACTTTCATGGTAATCGGTGGCGCAATGGGAACAATGGCGGCATTGGGATCCACCGAACTCGTCTCCACGCTGCTCGGCGCCTGGATGTTCGTCTCCTCGTCCATGTTCTTGATGGCGCTGTCCTTGCTGTCCTCCGCCAGAGCCTCTGCCTTGATGCCGAGGGCCTTCTCCTCGACCTTGGCCTCCAGATCGTTGGTGGCCATTTCGCGCTCCTCCTTGCAGCTGACCGTCTCCTTGCTGTCCTTGGTGGACTGCTGCTCGGCGGTGGTGGTGTCCGTCGTATTGGACTCGCCATCGTCGAGCACGGAGTCGGGCCTGCTGTCCGAGTTCATGCTCTCCACCGGACTGTCCGGCCGCTTGCGCTTCTCCTTGACACTGGCATTCTCCTCCTGGGCACTCGTCGGCTCGCTGGCCTCCTGCTCCGTTCGCTTCTTCTTGTTGGGCGTATCCTGCTTGCCACCCTTGCGCTTGTTGGCCGAACTCTCGGCCACGGCCTTCGTCGGCGTCTTGGGACTGTCGACCGAGGCTCCGCCGGCAACGTCCGGTGTTTCGGAGCCTCGCTTGGGCCGCTTTCCATTAGCCACGGCGTTGGCTGATGACTGATCCTTGGACGAGTTATTGCCGCCAGCGGCTCCCCGCCGCCAGTTGAACCGCTGCTTATTGAGGTGGCGTTCGCACCACCGTTGTTTCCGGCCGAGTTGTTGTTGTTGTTATTGTTGCTGCTGCTGCTGCTACTGCTGCTGGTGGTGGTGCTGCTGCTGTTGTTGTTGTTATTGTTGTTCTGTTGCTTATTTCGCGTCCTCATCCTTGAGGGTGATTCATCCCTTTTGTGGGTCAGACTCGAATCACTGTCGCACTCGCTGGCGTCGTCCTCGGTGAGCGAGCTGTTCTCCTCCTTGGAGACAGCGGGCGAGGATCGACTCGCCGTCTCGGACGCCGCGGTTGCCGCCGCCGTCGCCGTCGTCGCAGTTTGTGGTTCTGGCGTGTCCTCCTTCTTGGGAGGTGTATTGCTGCTGCTGCTGTTGTTCGCCCGCGTGACACGGTTGCGGCGCAGGGCGCTCTGTCGGCGGCGCCTGTGCGGCCGATTGTTGTTCGCGCCGGGCGTCTTCTTCCACAGATAGTAGAACTCGACCAGCTCCGGCGTGTCCTTGTGCGGCAGCAGGTCCTTATGGATGCGGAAGAAGTTCTTGCCGAACTGACGCAGACCCTTGATGAACTTCTTTGTTTCGTCCTCGGTCCACTTCTTGTCGATGCCCTTCGAAACGGGGCACTTTACGAGCGCTTGTAGAGCTTTGCCTGGATCGTAGCCAGAATCGTGGAGCTAAAAGTTATAGAATATAGATTAGAAGTATGTTTGGGATTCGTATAAGGATATCATCATACCACGTCGAGTGCGTTTATTGTGGTGTCGTCGCGACTGGCAGCCAAACAACCGTCTTCTAGTCCGCCATCACACATTCCTTGAAATGCAGCCATCGAGCGAGCCGCACGCAAGAACATTAACAAGTCGCCATCGGCCACAACGCCTGGACTCCATCTTGATTCCTCTAGTTCACGTTCATCGGTTTCCTTGTCGATGGGGAAGCTTGAGATTGGATTATAATCGGGCAGTTTTGCCTTCAGTCGTCATAGGAGACAAACGAAAAGTTTTGGGATTAGTTCAAAAACTCCAGGAGAACGATTGATGGGTTAGTCGACACACAACCGCACCACACCACACCAGAGCACAGCACAGCACAGCACACCACGCACACTACAGCACACCACAGGCAAGACAGCTAGTGCCGGCAATCCGGGGGGATTACCAGCACCCACGAGATGATACACAAACTTAGGTCTAATGCATGATTATGGATGAATAATGTATAATGTGTGCTACGGATTTCCTCGAACAGATTTTTTGTGGGAAAAGGAACAAGGAAGTGGGTTCTTGGGATCTGGATCTGGGACTGGGTCAACATCTACTTGTCGAGGATTCGAACTATTAATAGCCAATTGCATAAACGCTAGAACTACAAATTATTTACAGGGATTAGGCGTTATATACAGGGAAACTTTTGGAAAGGTTATGCTATGAGTAACCGAAATAGCTAAAGAAATTTGCGTTGCTGTAGCCTTTTAGACGAGAACGATAGAATTCAATGAGATAAGTGATTAGTTCGGGTTGCATATATAATTATACAAAAGTGAAGAACAAAGGAACTAACTATTCAATTGATTAAAGTAATTAGATTTTACTTTATTTGGTACTTTACGTACTGAAGCGCATATGAAAAGTGGAATATAAAATGTTAAAGATCCAGTTTCCCAAAAGGGGTATTTAAGTTTGGGGAAAACAAAACATAATCCCATTTAGTGAGTAACATGAAAATGTCGTTTGAAATCGGAAACGGAAACAGGACCTTTAATTTCTTAATTACTTTCCGTTCCCACAAAGGCTACCAGCAAAATAAGTTTGAGAAAGGTTTTTTGTTCAAGACATCCAAAGAGGAAGAACAAAGGATTATAAATTACAACTTTTGCAATAAACAAAGGAAAAAACGGGCTATATTTTCGTTTTGCATAATTGTTAAATTTTGTAGTTCTTTGTTTTTTGTTTTTTTTTTTTTTTTGTTTTGTTACCGTGAGCTGAATTTCTGATTTGTGAGAGTTATGTACGTACATAGACATCGTTTACCTGGTGGCCGGGACCCACTCGAATTTCTCCTTGAGTGGAGGCCGCCATCACCCTTTAAAAACACGCTTCCGGTCCAGTGTTAAGCCTTTTTATGCCCTCTACGATATGAAAATTCAACTGCAAATAGATCCAAGCACACAGAGAAAATTCGTTAGCCAAAAAAACCAGGATTCAAACTGAGAGAATGCACGGCAACTGGGACTGTTGGCTGGTGGTTCGGTGGTTCGGGGGGTAAAAGGCGTTTTCAATAAAGCGATGAAGTTCATATCAACATGCATAAATAAATAATCCATAAAAAATAATGCCGTGTAATGTGCGAACGATGGAGTGGCGATGAGAGGAGTGGAGAGGAGAGGAGGGAGTGGTTGGGGGACACGGCCGACGGTACCGGGAAATTAGGGGTTTACGATGTCGGACGATTGAGCTCTCTGCCACTTAATCGCCTGCATATGTTAATGCGTCCGCCACGTACAGACCCCGAGGGAATCCGTGGATGGCGTCGATTGCGTGGATCGGGGGATTGCGGGATTGAGGAATGGACTGTGCCACTGACAGTCGAATGGTTTTGCTTTCAATGCGCTTATGCATGGGTTTAGTTTGCGTTGGTCTCTGTCACTTTCTCATTATACCCTTTAATCAAGGGATTTTATAATTCCAATTAGTGACAAACACAAGCTACTATTCTTAAGTTCTTAGCTTATCTAAAACTTGCTAATAAATACTAATGAAGGCCTTTAAATAATTCGTATCTTCTACGGCTATTTAAATCTTGGATAAGTGCCTTAAAGCCAACCCAGAGCCCTGGGTATTCCCCACTTCGTTTACCCACTTAGCACTTCTTTCCAGTTTTTTCACTCAATTCAATTTTTTGCTGGCATCAGTGGCTGGTTTTTTGTTTCTTCGCCTTCCGTCTGGCGCTGTCTCTCTCGTCTCGAGTGTGCGTGCAGCTGTAAACAGATTTTCCGCTCAAGTAAGTCCGCGAATAACTGTAACGAGGCGGTTAAGTAAGCCTCCTCGGCTGCCCAAACCATCCCATGCATACCCCTTACACCCAACCGATGCCACCATGTCAACCCCACCAAGTGGAATTATCATTAAATTTGCTTATGAATCAATATCATTGGCAATGCACAATGACAGGCAAACTGAGGGGACAATCGGACGGATGGACAGACGAACACACGGTGCGTTGCCTGACTGCCTGCCTGCCTGGCTGCCTGGCTGCCGTCTGCTCACATCAGGAATGCCGGCGGTGTTGCGGTTGTGTGGCAGCGGCACACAAATTATGGCAATTAAAATCAATTAATTAAATGCAGCGACAGCTACGGGAGCGACGACGACCGACCGACCGGATCAGCACGGGCAGGCACCAAAAAAATAAAACAGATACATATACACATATACACGTATGTATGTATATCTGCATTATATAGAGGTGTATGTATGGTGTATGTGCGCATTGTCGACAGATTTACACTCAATAAGGCACGACACGCCGCCTAAATGACTGACGACTAGGGGTAAAAGCGGGTCGCAGAGGAGGGTTCCACACCACGATCCCGACGGAGGAGAAGGTGGACCCGGAGGAGGGACGACAAACGCGCCTGGGTGTGGAGGACCTGGACCCGGGGTTGCACCGTGGTCACATCGATTCGATTCGGTAATCCCCCTCGGCACAGGCACACAAATGAAATATTCATGAACGTCACAAGAGGGAGGAATATACATACAATATATTGTACGAGTGGTGCGATTGTTTCTGCTGTCTTTTGTTTGATTGCCAGCGAAAAAATATGCCCATGAATGTTTACCTATGAATAATTGTTTGCCCAGCGTAAAAGCCGAGATATCAATGGATTGCTTTTCGGTATCAGTACGGTTCTACTTATTTCCTCATCACCAACAAAGCCTTATAAACCAACAAAGGTGTTTACAATTATTTAATGAGTAAATAAGAAGCAGAATTGGTGAAATTCATGAAAAATAAAAACCATACATGTAAGCACTTTTAATATTAAATCTGTATTCTAGAAATGAATCTTAAAATGCAACGAAAATGAGGTTTCTAAGCACTCTGCTCCACTGTGCATCGAACGGTCTGCGTTTGGGGCCAACACTTATCAACGACATCAGCAGCAACACCATGGCACACCATACCATTCCTCACCTCACCACTCCATTCCAAACCACACCACACCGCAGCACAGCGGAGCCGACGACCAGGTTACTTGCTTTGGCTTTGGCTTTGGCCTGGCCCTGTTGGCCTGGTTGGGTTTTGACTGCTTGGCTGGTTGGTTTAACTGGCAGCAAACTTTTTTATGGGGGAGTCGTGAGTGGAAAAATTTCATATAAACACACACAAGGTGGCGGTGGCCACCAGGGCGCAGGGCACGCGACCAACTGAATCCCCGATCCCCACATGCCGAGCATTGTCAGTGGGTTGCTGCTGTTGCACCCGGGCTTCTACACATAAAAAAAACATTAATAGTATCATTACATATCTACATTCTCGTTAAAATAAAAAAAAATAGAAAAGTAATCATTTCAATCATATCACATATCATTTCAAAGTTTAAAGTTCAACTGACTTGTTTTTAGTTCAAAAGAAATAATAATTCTAATTTGGTAATATCGAACACCTATTTCTACTTTTAATTTCCCACAAAACAAACATAATTTATGAAAATATTCAGAATGCTTTCAGTTCAATTTGCTTTTCAAATTACTTCCTCAATTTATCCAACCATAACTAAAAACGAGGGTTGTAGTTCCAATCACCCCGTAATATGATCGATTTAATCCCTGCCCAAAATGATACACCCTTGATTTATTACTACGTATATATTTTCCACTGTGCATTGCCTTTGGGCTGCTGGTTGGTTGGCTGGCGCTTGGGGAAAAATTGTGTAATAACTGCTGGCAATGTGCTAAGCTGTTCCTTTCGGGCTGTGGGCTCTACTGCTCCGCTCTATTCTGCGGCGGCTGTTATAAAACAAATGTACTACAAAAAGCGACGTTGTAAACGCACAAAGCCATAAAATCTGAAAAGACAAAACGAAAGGCTCGAGCCCAAACACATTTGCCACCACCGAAAAGTGCCTGCTGCCTGCCAGTCCTCCTTGTGTTCGCCACTCCCTGTCTTTCCTTCCTGTTCCTGTTCCCGTTCCCGTTCCCGTTCCAGTTCCCCTTCCCGTTCTCGTTCCCGTTCCCGTTCCCGTTCCCGTTCCCGATTCCCCCCCCTTCTCCCCCTGTAAAAGACCACAAATTATGGCACAGTCCGGTGAAAGAGAGAGGGGCATACTCAAAAGAGATGGCTGAAAGAGACGGCACCACCAACTGGGTAGAGTCTGCAGTCTGTAGTCGGTAGTCGGTCGTCGGTAGTCTGTACATTGACTACGTGACGTTCTCGAGTACTTGGCTCTCCATTCTGTGAGTCAGCAGCAATGTCGGTTTGGCTACAACTTCTCGGATTGGCTTGGCTCGACTCGACTTGGCTTGGCTTGGCTTGGCTCCTTCTCTTGATTCCCCCCTGCGTGCAAATTTAAGGCCAATAATGCTGTCAGTCTCAACTGGCGCGTCCGTCTTCGCTCAATTAATGTCATCGCATATTATAAAGTTACACTGGATTAACAACTTCAACTCGCCCCCTATCTGTGGCTGGGAATTGTTTTCTAAACAGCCCATAAACATAAACGAAAACAAAGCGGGAAATGTAAATGGAAATAAAAACTTGGAAGGCCAACGGCAGCAACAGCTAAATCACACGGAGCAAAATACATAGTTTTATTTTATTACCAGATGTTTTCTTTTATGACACACTTTGAAGGCCAAGGAACAAATTGAATTTAGTTAATTAGATAGCAAATCGGAACATTATAATTACAAAATGTGTTTCCCAATACATATGTTCATATTTGGAATTGTTTTTGATTATAATTTCGGGTAACAATATTAAAATAGGTTGTTGAAAAGTGTGCCAAGTGTTGTTCCGAGTGTAACAACCAACAACATCGACAACGGCCGCAGAAAGAGGAAATTCAATAAACAATTTGTAGCATGAGAAGCGGAAAATTGTGTGTACGCACGCGGCTAAACGGACGCGAGTGGCTCCCCAAAGGGGGAGGTGTTTTAGTGGGAAAGAAAGGGGGGTGTTTGGGGGGTGGAAAAGTGGGAAAAATCCGACAAAGGTGCCTCTCGCTCTCGCTCACTCGCCCTCTTTCGCCGTCCCGCTTCCGCACTCACTCTTTCGACTGCGCCGAGTCGAGTCGAGTATAATTTTGAAATGGAAAAGCTGTCGACTGTCGTCGGCTGACTTGTCGGCTATTTGGCTCTTGGCTCTCCCGCTTAGCTTTAGCTTTAGCTTTTAGCTTGTTTTTCTCTTTGTAATCATCGCTTGCCAATAAGCTGACTAATTGACTGACAAATAGGCATCAACTACGACGATGGCGATGGCGTTAATAAGAGCGTCAGACAGGCAACTCAAAAAGCCCCTTATGCCTTATGCTTATGCCATCATCATCATCGTGCCAGCGGCAATGCCGCGCCGCAACTGTACATTAGGGGTGGCCATAAAGCCCGAGACTTTATCCTTATCAACACGGGGCTCTCAGCGAGAGATTATTAGGTTAGTTTCCCCGCTCCGCTCGGCGCGTTGGCCAAGTTTAAGTGATATGGCTGTAAATGAATTAGACCCCCGGCTGTGATTGAGTTCGTCCCCAGTTCGGTCGTCGCAAAAGGGTGGAAAACGTAACGTGGAATCCTTCAGTTTTTCAATTGACTCGCCACACAACAACTCGAGTGGGGTTCAATCGCTCTGAACTTGTCCAATCGACCGGAACTTTCAATTGAACCACTCAACCGAACCTTTGATCCCGACTGTATTCCTGAACTCTGTGTGTGTATGGCTATTTTGTTTATTTTATTTATAGCCCATTTGTGTATTCAATGATTCATTTCAGCTTAGACCTTTAAATTAACACACTCAAGTGCACTCTAGAATTTTGGTTTATAACTCTTTTAAGTATGAGTTGGATTATTAAATTTGTATTATTAATTTCTTCTGTTTAAGTTGATGTATAATAACGAAAATATCTCTAGTCATACCATAATTTGAAAAGTTTATGTATTCCTTATATTATGGAAATGTACTCTCCCATATTCGATTGCTAATATATTACTTATCTTCAGTTTTATTTACGCTATGAACATCTAAATTTATTGCCATTTCTGTGAATTGTTATTTTCCACTAAGACGTATTTTGTAAATTCCTGAACTCCCTTGATAAACAGGGAGAAATTCCTGTAATTTAACCGATTGAGGACCACTAAAAACATCACCTAAATAACCCAACTGGAATTGCCCAGCTCCACCGCATTCCCGAGGGCATAACAAAAGCCACTCTATTAAGGCGTTTCGAGAGGAGTCCATTTAATTACCAAGACGAACAGCACACACAAATTTAACCATGCTGCATGGCCAATTGAGTTCGTCATAGGCGTTTTGACCGAGGGTTATAAAGAAGGCACACATACATACGTACATATTCGACCCATCATTTGAGTGAATATAACGGTGTGTGCCTGTGCATCTGTCCATTTGAAGGGTTCGTGTCAAGTACGGAAATCCCATTAAATGTTCGTAGGCACTTTGCAGAGACAACTCGTCTGTGTGTGTGCGTGTATATACACACACATATGAGTGTAGACGTAGATTCGTGTTGTGAAAGCCAAATTTTCACAACAAGTCAAAACAGACGTTGCAGAAGTCAGAAAAGAAACAAACAAAGGCTGCTGATGATGGTGGCAAAGTGGCGGGGAAATGGGAGAGAGACGAAGCGTTTAACCAAAAGCCCATAAAACAAATTTCTCTTTTCTTCGCTTGGGTAATGGAATTGTTTGCTTCTGTTGGACATTTTTTTTTTTTTCGTCGACTCGCTCCGAGTTTGTTTCAGGTTCCCGATTCCCGAGGTCCGTTCTGGTTCTCGTTTTTGTCTGGACAGGCAGCTTACAGTTGTTATGCCCATTACTCAACATCAACAAGAACATTATGCCACCGCAGTGGCACTCACGCTGGTGCTGCTGCTACTCCACCTACTTCTCCCTCTTGTACCTCCTCTTCCTCCTCCTCGGCATTCCTATTCATGCTCCAATCTCTGCCACACACACGGATACGGACATGGACACGGACTCCAGGCCACTTCACTCCATTCCACTCGCCACTCCACTCCACATGCTTTTCTTCATTCAACCCAAACGATTGAGCATCTATTCAAGCAGCCTCGTCTCCTCCATCGTCGTCGTCGTCGTCGTCGTCGCCGCCGCCGCCGTCGTCATCATCATCGCACAGCCGACGACGACGAGTCAACGCTCCAAAAGCCAAATAAACGACCTACAATGATGCCCCTGCACTCGCCGCCTCTGCTAACCTGTGTGCTTTAGGGTGGACCTGTTAAAGATCTAATCTTAAAAAAATAAGGTTTCCTGCTGGTTTTTTTTACCTCATGTAACAAAAACTACTCGCATACCGTCAAGAAATGTTTAACAAATCTAATATCTGGATCCTAAACTGAACTAAAATCGATCTAAGCCAACAATTGGTAAATATAAATTCTGTTATAAGGTTTTAAGTTACTTTTACCAAAGTTCAAACCTTTATAAATAAGTGGAGCTTATTACATTACCTATTGGTTATAAATGTTAACTTATTGTTTTAAGACATAAGCAGACGTTCAGAAACATTTATAAGCCTTCCTGTTCCCTGTTTTATGACTGTCATAAGACCCAATTTCAAGGTCCACCCCAGGTGCAAATTCATTGGCCCGATCCGATGCGAACTGAACCGATCCGAACTCTGGGGTCGTCTGCATCCGAGACCGAGACCGAATCTGAATCCGAATCAGAATCCGAAACCGAAACCGAATCGTAATACCGACGTTCGTTTGGTCGTGTCTGTTGGCCTGCTGTCGGCTTCGTTTCATACGATTTGTTGGATTTGCTCATGAAGTTGTTAAACAGATTGTCGGTGTAGATACCTTCATCATTTTGCACGCCGTCCTCCTCCGACTCATCCGTCCTCCTCTCAACCTCCTGTTCATCCTCCATCCCCATCCCAATCCCAATCCCTCATCCTCCGCCTCCTTTTTTCCGCCCTAAGTATCCAGCCAATTCTGTAGTCTGCGGCTTGCTGTGTATGTGTGTGTGCGTGTGCTTGTGCGATTAGTTTTATGTAATTTTATCGAGTATTTTAAGGATTTTGCGGCTTATCCGCGCTTCATTTGGAAATTGTTTCGTGTTACTTATGTCGGGATGTGTCTGCTTTTCAGGCCATCAGGATTGCAGGATGTGCGGGGTGTCAGTGTCTGGCCCTTTCTTTTCCTTCTGCCTTTTCCTTTTTTTTTTAGTCCTCGCCGTCGTCGTCGTTGTCCCTTTTTTTTTCTCCTAGTGTTTATGGAACTGTCGTTATTTGTTTGTTTGCCATTGCACGAGTGGCTGTATGTTTGTAAATGAGCTCTTTGCATGTGCCCCGTACTCTCTGTCTCTCTCTCTCCCTCTCCCTCTCTGTCTTTGTCTCTGTCTCTTAGCCACTGTATTATACCGCTCAGCTAATAGAATTACACACAACGCCAAAGATTTATGGGCCCATTTAACACGCTTTTGCATTATATTCTCACCCATTTCGGCCTGTTCATTGATTTTACACTGATTAACACGAGCTTAATTATTCATCTTTTTTCCCGCTTTATAAATTAAGTATAAATAATAATAATACGCTGAAATACAGCCACAAATACATCGCTCGCCATTGTGTATTTTAATAAGCACTTTGTGTGTGCTAATTATCTTATCGCTAAATGGAGTTAACACGTAACAGAAACAGTAACTGGGATTGATTTAGCACCGCCAGTGTTTGACTAACGATGTCATCGTGAGGGGATATGTGACTTAAATACAAATATTAAAACCGCAAATGTTAAGTAACTTTTTTTTTGGAGCAAGCAAATATTTGTTGGCTACTTTATGGTTGTGGTTTTGCATTGTAGTTATTATTTCTTTACATCAGCAATCTGATCATGTTTAAAATTGGTCCTTTAAGCTAGATATCATAACCGGGTTTTTTCTATTATCATACCTATTGATATGCAAAGACTCCCAGTTTATTTTTAAACGAAAGCAATAGCCCCTACAAATTTAATATCATGTTTCTGCCTGTGTGAGTAAAATGCTTTAAGTTAAACAAATCCCTCCATGTTTACACTTCCATTTACCAGTTAGCAGCGCACGAGTTTATCTCACGTACACACCTCTAGGGCCAAGGTTTCCCAAGCACTTTGAGGCAGCTTTAGTCGAGGGGATGGATGGCTTAGATCAAGCCGCTTGGCTGCCCAGTCGGCATTGCTAATTAATTCGCTTATGTAATGGACAGCAGAGCTGAAAACGGGGGGCAAACTGGGTGGTTCAAAAGGGGGAAACCTTCCGCTTACTTCTAATCGACATCAATAAATCGACACACTCGAGTCAAGTGCGCGCGGACAGACGGACGGACTTTTCAATCAGATAAGCAGCACTTATAAATTAAAAGCGCAACAAAACAGATTAATAAAAGTTAAACTTTAACGGCACCTTATAAATAAGCCAAATGACTAATAATAAAATATGAAAGCGCGCACAAAACCCCGACATCAAAGGCGACCAGCAACTGTGTAACACACCAAAAAAATAAAAAGCTCAACACACATTTCAAAACCGAACCAAACCAGAAGAGCAGGAAAACCGCAAGGGAACTCATCCATTTCTCAACAGCAATTTATCTCTCTTTTTTTTGGAATGTGTATTTCTAAAATGTTCGTGTTATTAATGCGCCTTGGGTTTGCGTTTGCCCTGCTTTTTTATTAAATGCATTATTAGCACGTTATTTATTAATTAAACACTCCAGCCTTTTAATGCGTCTCTAATCAGATGGCCTCGCCTCCGCACTCTTGTGGTTTTGGTGGTGCAGATAAGCGGCGCGCTAAGCAAATGGTAATGTGGAAATGGGTGGTTCGGGCACAAAGATAAGAGCTTGAGCGGTGCAAATTGCCTGGGAATTTCCCAGAAATCAATCTCCATTTTCGAAGAACGAAACAACTGGGATTTTACTTAGCAAAGAGCAGGTTAAAGGTAAGGAAGGCACTTCATTAGAAAAGATAACGAGATTGGTAAATCCCCCGCAAGAAATAGTTAAGCAAGAATATCTGATGACAGGTAATCCCTCATTAGTTCTGATCTAAGCCAGCACAATATTTCACAAAAATACAAAGAAATGGGTGCACAAAGTCCATTTAGTTGAGGCCTAACTATAACTATTACTATTAGATGGTCGTGTAACTTCAGACAAAACAGGTATTGCAATTAGTTTATTGAAATATTTTTGTAAATTCCTTTACTTATTGCCACTGAAAAAATTAGGAGAAACACTTGTTTTTACAAGCCCCCACAAATTTCTCAACTGATTCATCTCGGTCCACATTTTCCGCTCCAAACAAGTAACAATAATTGCCCTACAAGGCGGCAACTCATTAGCAATCCACAATAGCGGCGATAAAGATCTAGCTTAGTTGGGTATAAGTATGGGCTTATCTCTGAAACAATCGTATATCCCATAAATACCAGACAAAAACTTGAGCATGAGAAATCCGAATATGGCCAACAATAACATCGGATTATGGCGCACGCCCCCAGTTTGTCTAATTGATTTGGGATCCCCCATTGAAAAATAGTTTCCTCCATTAGCTCGAAAAGAAAACCCTTCCACAAACAACAGGGGATGTGACACATGAGACGGGGGGTCAGCCAGCCAGCCAGCCAGCGTGCCAGAGTATCGAATTAAGCAAACAAATAATTATAATTAAATGTGTGCCCGGTCGAACAGATGTCTTGGCTCACCATGAATCCGTGGTCGGGGTTGTATAGTCGTCGAGGCGTTCCTCCCGAAGAAGCTCCTCTCCCCAGCTGAAGGCGGCAAAGTTACTCCGGTCTCCCGTCTCCGAATTCCACACTCCAGTTGATAATAATGATGATGATGATGTGCTGGCTCGTTGGATGCGAAGGGGTGGGCGGTCTTGGTCGATGCTGTTGCTCTGCTTTTGTTGCTCTTGATAGTGTTGTTGTTGTTGTTGCTGTTCTTGCTCAGCGAGGGGGCAGCGAGTAGCCGGAAATGTATATTTTGGTTAATTTGCACAAACACAGCTGGAAGGCGAAGAGATGACGTAGGTGAGAGCCGAGACGACGGAGATGATTAAGCAAAAGAAAAGAACCAAACATAGGAATTGAACGAGCAGGGTGGGAAGAATCTCCTTCGGAAAACAATGCAACAGTAGCGGTGTTTCCTAGAAGAACGTGTAAAAATGGGGTTTATAGAACTAATAACGTTTACACGTTGGCTATTTGCGGTTATTAAAGGTAAATAAAATCGAAAACAAAATTTTTTTCTGAACTTTACTGTAGTAAATAAAAATCCGATTTATTAAATATTATTAATACCCTTTTAAGTTTTTACTTCAAATTTAAATTTACCAAAAATTGTTCATAGACAAATAAATATTTCGTAGACAGCGTTTAGTTGTTTTTCTATTTATAAAACAACAACTTTTCAGAATATGGTTCGAGCTTAGGAGACTTGAAGTCATAAAATTGTTTTTGCGCTTACTTTTATGGTCTATGTTTCTATTGCCAATAAAAGTTCTTCGTTAAGACTTATATAGATTTTATGTTAGAAAAATATGACAGTAACTAGTAATACGGTTCGGCTTCTACGGATAAATTCCAACAAAACGGGGAAAGCCTGAACACTCTTGCATTAACAATAAATAAGTAATACTTATAAGTAATACTTATTTATCAGCCACCAAAAAAGGACACAAGAAAACATATTTTCCAACGTCAGCAACAGCAGTTGAATAAGAAGCAGCAGGAGCGGTCACGGATACAGGGGCGCACGAAGAGTATAGGACAAGGGGGTCAAAAGCATGAGCATCCTTTTGGGGGGTGGTGGGTGCGCTGGCCGCAAGAGCGTCGCGTCGGTGGTGACGCCGACGATAACAACAACAACAAATACAAAGGGGAACACAACGGTGGTGGGTTGTTGCTGCCCCTGTTTTTGTTGTTGTTGCCTCTGCTGCTGACGCTTGAATTTCGCTTTGTTGTTGTTGCTGCTGCTGCTGCGCTTGCGATTCCTTTTCAGCAAATTTGTTGAGCCTTCGTTCGTGTTTGCATTGTTCTACCCCAAAAAGTTCATAATAGACTGGATTCTCTGCGCGCCCTCCCCCTTAAAAAACTAAAGGGGGGACCGCCACTGTTTCTCTGGCTTTTTTCCCGTTTTTTTCCATATTTTTTTGTTTTTTTTTTTACCCGAGAGACGTCGCATAAATTTGAATGATTTGCACGCTGCGCAACTGCGATTTCAAATTAAATTAGTGACACACTTAGTAATAATTAATTTTCGCACACTTGTTGTAGATTTTTCCTTACGTTTTACTGCTGCTGCTTGTTGTCGTTGTTTTTATTGCTGCTACTGCCAAGTAATGTTGTTTTTGTTGCTGCTGCTTTTTGTGTTTTTGTTGTTGGGCGCGTGAAACTCGTCGTACGCTTTTTTTAATGCTCTTCTCCGTTTCTCTTCTTCTTTTTGCATACACTTTGCGCACACACACACAGGCACACTCACGTACAGAAACACACACACAGACAGAGAGCAGCACACACAGACACACTCACACACACACAGGCACGCACTTTGGTTGCTTGCTTGCGTTTTTTTATTGCCTGCCTTCGCTTTCAGTTATTTTCACTTGGTTCGTGCGCGTTTTTTGGTTGCTTTTCCGCGGGTTTTCCATCCACACACCACAGCCAGCGTCGTTGCGAGTGTTTTCGCCAACAATTTGCAATAATTCGCTGGCCAAATTGCGTGCTTTTTGTTAATAATCGCCACTACGAATTTCTCCGCGAAGAAGCCACCATTTTGTAAAAATATATACTTTGCGGGGTCTGGTAGCGCTGGTCTTGAAAGTGTGGCAGCGCCAGTACTGGTTAGGGACTAAAAAAGCCACCATTGGTGAAATACCAAGCAGCTTTTGTCGGTGAGCCAAAGTGGCAGGCCCAGTTTGATTTAACTATTAAAATGTTTATTTTAATTATAGACGTTGTTTTTAAGTTAGGACCAATAATAAACAGTGAAAACAGGATTTTTGAGTAATGTAAGCACCTACCGTGCTAAATTTTAACACCCGGCAACCCTCTGTTAATCCGGGCTTCCAACCACTGCGGTGATGCAATTTAGTTCGAATTATTTAGGAAATTCTTTGCTGGTCCGTTTGGTCACCATATGGTAACACTGATTGTTTATTTTGTTATTCGACGTTGTTGGAAACTGATTTAAATCGCAAAACCGCTGCTAATAATTGCGAAAACTCGAAAAAAGCGCGTCGACCATTTCCAAATAAATCTGAAGAAAAGGGAAAACGCTGGCATTTAATCTCCCCACCAAGAAATAAAATACAAAAAAGCCCACAAATTTTTGGATTGCTAAAATGTGCGACGAAGCCGGAACAGAAAATTTGGAGCACCAAGGTAAAAATTCGTACCGTTTTGGTGTTTACCCAATTCATTTACAAAGCCATTAAGAGGATGTCTAATATTTGCATAGAAGCTTTTCAAGTGCGTTAAAACACCATTAGGCCAACCCGGTAGCTTTGGGCTTTTATTTTTTGATTAAGTAAAAGAATATAAGTAAAGGGGGCTTCGGTGGATTTTTGCGAATATTTATGTTTAATTAGAATGACGGAAAACTGGGCTAAATTTAGGCAAGTCAGGCAAGTCAAGGAAAATCGTTTTGTGTTGACCTTTTTTGGGATTCAGGACAGCTGCATTTCGGCCAAACAACACTCATGCATGCTTGGGACACACTGAAAAAAAATATTAGGATATTGAATTGATAAAAAATATGAGTGATATAAAATGTCAACTCAATGGCAACTGTATCACAAAAACTGTTTTGTAAAAATATATGTGTTTTAATTAGTAAACAATTAAAATATTTTTTTTTAACTATTTTGAACATTTTAGATTTTGCAGTGCAAAGTGAGTGTGTATTTTGGCATTTCCTTCCTGTCCACTTCACACATTCCCTTTTCATCCTCTCTCATTTCCTACTTATTGTTGTGCTTTGACCTCTTCCTGGTTTTCTGCCGCAATATTAAAAATAATATTTGTTCATGGTCAAAGCTAAGCCAATTTTCCCCACTAACCACCCACTTTGCGCCCTTTCACAAATCATTTGACATTTACCGGCGAAATCGATGAGTTTCCCGCGTTTGTCGCAATTCGCGTGACTTAAATGGGTTCCCTTATCTTTTCAAGCGACGCTCGACCAGAATTTTATCAGTGGCAGTTGAGCCCGTTGAAACGTTCTTAAATTGTCTTAGATTAATTTTAATTTATGATCTCCTGACAGGAGTTAATGAATTGTGTGCCATAAACACATGGGAAATGGAAATTATTTTCATTTCTGTGTATACACACTTATATCAATTAGGCGTTTATCTAACTTTTGAAGAGGCTGTTTCAAGTGGCGGAACATTTAGTATTTATTAGTTTTAAATTTAATTTTGTTTTTTTTTCTATAAGAATAGATAAGCCTCTTTTTTTTGAGGGCAATTTCCCTGCTTCTCGTTTTCAAATTTTTTTGTTCTCCGTAGAGAATCTAGATCAAGATTTCTAGCTACCTGGAAACCCATTGTCATTAATCGTTTATTATTGTTTTGCCTAAATGTGGTTATTTGTAGAGCATTTAAAATTCATTTCCCTACACTTTATCGCCGACCCATGCAAATTGTCGTGAGTTAGCGCTTGATAATATTTGCCGAGCGTTTGCATGGGCAATCCTAATTGTAAATTCATTTAGCGCCCGACCGGAGATTATAGTTTCAGCACCCCAGAACCAACAACAACAATAATAACAATGACAACGATCCCCCTTCCATTGGGCTAATTAAATTGCATAAAACCTGACCGCCAGCAGAGGCGGCTTTTGTTGTACATTTTCTTTTATTTTTTTCCTATAAAGTGATATGCAATTGTGCAATCCTCATGAGTTGGGCTATTTATAGAGTCTGGGAAAGCAACGGGCACGTTGTTTAGCCTCGTTGTTTTTGTTGCATGAGGGAGCACCGCTTGAGGAGCCTTCAGCCCCCTCGATTACCACCCAAATCAACCCAACCCACCGCCCATGAGGTGTTCGTGATTGATATTTGTCTCGTTGGGACACGGACACCTTTTCAATTGTTTTGATTTTAGAATCGGGGGGAGAAACAGAATTTACAATATTGTTATGCATGTTTGCATTTTGTTGTATTTGCCCCTCTTTTTACATTTTCCATATTCTATATACGTTTTGGCACGTACAGCCAAACGGCCAATGGTTGCCTTTTTATGGCATCCACCTTAGGGAAGCATTAGTTATGGGGCAGACCCACAAGTACAGCCAACAATAAAAAGTACATCAAATTTGATGGGCGCAAATTATATAATTGGGAATGTGTGGGAGGAAATCTGGACAAAGGCCAGTTAGTTTTGACAAATTTGGCAAACATAAAAAATTATAACTTGTTAAAACAGGTTTTGACACCAGTGAATATAATCTCTAAAAAATTTAAATGACTGCAAATCGAAGTTTTCTTTTAGACATTCCATTTGCATTTCTGCATCAATTTATTAGTTATATTTTTCAAATGTTTATTTGAAAACATTTAAATCAATTCTCGGTAGAGGATAGATTAGATCATGCAGTTCATCGCATGAAGAGTTTCACGGATTGTCGGGCCCCCATTTCCAGGCATTCATTTAGAATATATTTGAGTAAACGAACCAATTGAAAAATACATAGAGAAAGCCAACGAGAATTCAATTGGTAGACAATCTGTCAGATGTGCATCAGATAAATTATCTGTATACAAAAAATTGTATCTATTGCGGCACTGGCAGAGATGAAATCCCAAAAAATTGTCCATCAAATTTGAATTTCTAGCAATAACAGTTGCCGGAGTTGATTGTAAATTTCCATTAATGGTTAATCAATGGTGATTGGGGGGCACGTGAGACTTTTTTTCCACCAGCCAGCGAGATTTTTAAGTGACGCGCATGACTCTAAATGAAATTTATAAAAATAACATTCGACTTTTCACCCGCGACACTTGGCAACGAATTTGTAGGACGTCGTCTCCATTGTTGAATCGGCTTTAAGCAGATTAAGCTGGATTACAATAAATTGCTTACATACTGCGAAACGGCAAAGGAGCGACCGGAAAATTGCTTCAATTTCGCCCTCGTCGGCGTTTGTAAGAAATGAAATAAATTAACCATTAAAATCATGTCCACATTTCCTGCACATTAAAGTGCAAAAATTAATTAATACGTTATGCTGAGCGGGCGATCACCCAAAATAAACAACAGAATACAGAGGAACGGTCAAGAAAAGAGGGAAAATAAAATATCAACTGTTTGCGCAGACATTCCAATAGTTGCGACACAAGAACCGAACAAAATGTATATATAATATCTGAAAGCGGAAAACAAAAGGTACAACAAGTTTCAGAAGCATAAAGAAATCGTGGAAAATGTCTACTTCCTTCAACACTTTAAAAAAGATTCTACCCTTCGTTGATGCACCTTGAAAAAGAACAACTAATTCCGATTGAATAAATAAGCAGATTCTGCAAACAAATATCAATTTTTTGAAACGCACTGTCTGTGTTTTCACATTTATGTGGAAATGTTTCGCTGAAAATAACAAACTTCTGCCACAATTGCCGATCCCAGTGCCATGACCAACTAGCCAAGGGATCTATTTTTGGCGTAGACTCGACTTTTTCGGGGCCATGAAATATGGCGAACAATATCCGTGGCAATCGTATGTGATTACTAGGTGACTTTTTAGATACCTCAGACCATTGCACGCTAGTGATTAGAGGTCTGATTAGAGGTTCGTTTGGGCGTCGAAATTTTATAGCCGCAGAAACATTTGTCAGCGATTCGTTAATTGCATGACAAAACAGCCATTCCAATAAAAACTATTTATATTTAAGTGTTCAGTGCCTCATGCCAGTCATTAGTAAGATTAGAGTGCTAATTTTGATTGTGATTTATACATAAAACGGACAGTGAGTCTGAGTAAGATTCTAAAGTTTTATCTTCAAAAAATAATATACATTTAAAAACTTTATCTAAGAAATACAAGTGTTGTATGTTGCTATTAGGCATTTCTTTTTTAACAGCTCATTGTTTTTGTACAAAGTTCTCCTGATATAAATAATAAATATAGTCATATATTCAGCCAGATAAAATATTCTTTCAGTTTTCGATAACACTAAATATATTAAACATGATGAGTTGCCTTTTCAACAGTTTGTTCGACAGTGCTCCGCCCATTCATCATTGTTACCGAACAATTGGCATGTGTTAGCGGCAATTAAAAGACGGCGGAAGGTTTTTATTTATAAATTCAATTCCGCAGATCGCGCGATTCGCTCTCTGGAGTGCGAGTGTCAGCACAGAATTTGACGCTTTAAATCTCAAACGAGCAGCAAGTGCACTTGGTCCCAATTGACCCAATTTTAATGCGATTTAAGCCCTAATACTGCCCGGTTTCACTTTCGTCTCAATTCCCCAATCAACCTTTTTATTGTTACACAGAAAATGTATTCGCACTAATTAAAGCAAATAGTTGTAGTTAATATAACTATAATAAATGTATACAAAAATGTTTGAAGAGAAGGAAAAACCTATTAAATTTATATGCTAAATACACTTAAATTTTATAAAGAGTATTTGATACATAATATTAGGGTACAAACAAGTAATATAAATTTATTTCTGTGTAAGAACTAGGGAAGCGGTAGGGGCGTTTAATTACACGCTTACACGCAATTTCCGTTGCGAATGCCGCTGGGGAAAATTTTCTCGAGGCGGGGCCGAGACTTCTGTTTGCCTGCTTGCTTGTTTATCTCGGAATACTTATGACGGTAATTTTACTCGATTTTACTTGTCTACCTGGCCGACCTTTGGCTGCGAGAAACACAATTTTTAATTCATCCATCCAGCTTGTTCAACAAATACGCTTTTCAATTAAATTCTGTGTACGCTTACAAATCTTGAAAATGCAAATAACTTAGAGAACACTGCGCACGAACGAAATCGCTGCAATGTTGCTTGCAAGAGGTCAGTTTTTAATTTACTTATTGCTATACTTAAAATAGTTCAAGCTTTTAAAATAAATATACTAAGTATGCTCATGTTTGAACCATTGTTGTGTTATTTTGTTTGTTAGTCATTTTTTAATTTAAATTTCTCCATTTCAGACCACCACGTCCACTTCGATTCGACTACGGTGAAGGATGACTTCGAATCAGACAGCTGTGTGACATATCAAAGATCTGGAGATACGATTGTGGTCAGCCTGGGCTTTCTGCAGATCAACCATCGCTACCTGATCGACCTGAAGCTCCCGACGTCGCTTTTTGGCGATGCGGGGAAGCCGGGCAGCAAGTTCGAGCCGGTGGTCAGCGCCACACCGAGTCTGCACTGCAAGATCACGGAATTCGCGGGCACCAAGCACGACGAGCATGACTTTTTCGAGATGAAAATCGAGTTCTTCGCCTACAAGGAGAAGCTGCTGCGCGAGGTCCTTCACATCGTCAGCTCGAACAATTCCAAGGAGGTGCTGCAACTGGTGATCGCCGCCCGGGTCTTGGGAAAGGGCAAGGGAACGCCCATGCTGCGCACCGGGATCCATTGCATCGGTGTCGAAAGGGACGACGATGAATCAGAGGCCTCAGACTTCGCCGGGTTCGACAGCAGGCCCTAAATTTGAAACACACCCTCTTCTCGCCTTGCCGCAACTTGTTTTCTTAGTTAATTGCAGATATTTACATAGTTCTTAAGTAAAAGAGAAAGGAATAATATGTAACGTTAGTTATTACCTACATAGCAAACAATTGTGTATGTAAAACTCATTGAGCATTTACATTTAGGTTTCGGTTTCAGTTTTGCGTGTTGTACTTAACATTTGTAAATTACCCGAGTCCGCAATTGTCAAGTTTGTATTGCACGTGAGTGGGCAAACTGCCAAAAAATTCTTGACATTTTATAATGATTTTCAAGACCATTTTACGGCCCGATCTTATATTACCAGTAAGCCTTACATTTGTTTCTTGGGTTTTAAAGCTGTTCATGTTTCACTTGCGTGCCGGAAAATCATGTAATATTTCGAAATATATTATGTTAAGTGTTTTAGAGTTGACTAAAGTAGGTTGTGACATGAACAACTTTAAAATAGCCAATCTAATGACCTTTTAACTATTGTATGACTGGAAGGCCTAACAAAAATTTCTATTAAATGTGTTCTGACTTTTTTAAATGCACTGTACATATATAAGGTCATAGATAACTCCTTTAAAATGCACCATATACAAATAATTATTGCAAAAAAAGTAAAAACAACCTCAGAAGTACACAAAGACCAACCGTTTGACCATTTTCAATGTGTATTGATATATAATTCAATCTCGGCAATTAATTTACCCAAAAGTATGCAAAATCAGATGCAATTTAATGTGTGACCAAATCGAGGTGCTCATAACAGAAATGTATGCATTAACCGAAACAAGATATTTAATCTTTTTGACTAAAATTAGCCCAGAGATATTTTTAGCAAGGGCCTTTTGAGAATATATTAAAGATTATAACATTGTGCACTGTCAAATGTATAAAAGGCACCGTAACTAATAAACTAGATTTTGTAAATTTAAATCTACAAAAAACCGATCAAAAACAACAAAATATTAGAGCCCGTAATATCATAATTATTTGTACTATCTAAGTTAATAATTGGTTAGTCACCTAGCGATTTGCTCAGGGTGCCGTTAATAAAATTCGTTAAAAGCCCCAAACTAATTCGTGCCTTTACTTTAAATTGCTACTTGTTTCTTCTTTTTTTAAAAAAAGCTTGAAAAACAAGATCGGCAAAATGTATGTGGCTTTTCTTGGCAATTGCTTCCAAAATATGATTTTTTACTTTTTGTTTAATCTATTAAAAATACACATGGAACTTAAAACAAAAAAAAAAGCTACGCCATGTACCAATTACATTGACAAATTCTAAGCGCAAAAAAATCTTATTCTTAATATTTAACAATAATTGGAGTGCAGATCAATTCACACATGCAAATAGCTAAAGGGTTTTTTACCAGTTTTTTTTTATAAATAAAAACATGTACCCCATGCGTACACCCATGACAAGTGAAATCACGAGTGCTTTTGATTCGGAGACTTTTCAACACTGTAATGCTGTCGGCAAAACATCGATAGTGCCATCCATAATGGGCCACCCCAAGTCATGGTAGGGCTGTCGAGATTACTTAAATATTACTCAAATAACATTAAAATATTGTCTTGATGATCACTTTTAGATTTTGAAACATACCTTATTTTCAATTCTTATAATAAAGCTCAAATCCTCAATAAAATCAAAAAGACGATATCTAAGCAAATATATTAGAGTATTTACAAGGATCAAATTGTTTAAGATCTGAAATTTACAATGCCTAAAAATTAACAGAATATGTCCATAATTGATTCACTTTGTCAGGCGCATCACACAAACAACATTTAAGTATGTTTTACAGTTTTTATTTTTTATTCGAAGCTCATTTATATTCAGTTTGGGTTACTTGCTCGTTCTTTAAAATTAAGTGAGTTTTATTTGATATGAAAAAAACATCGTATTCTTGATACGAACCTAGAGCAAACGATAGTGACAACTCTAAAACATGGCGTCCGCTCGCAGTTGTTGTGCTGTCGTGTGGTACGTGTGGCTGGTCGAGAAAATTCTTTTTCGCTTCGAATAGGACTATTATTTAACTCAGATTCGGAACGAAAATATGTGGAAAATGTGCCGTGAATGCTGCTGTGATGGATAGACATGAAAAGTGCCAGAGAAACAAGGTTTTTAATGGCTAAATGACGTTTTTTCAAACTTGCCAGACAGTTCAGTGTGCCTGTGTGTGTGTGCGTTTAAGGGGTACCAAATTTGCAGCCCGAAAAAAGTTGAAGAAAAAAAACTTTTACCAAGTTGGCACTTGGGTGGCTATGCTTGTGTGTGTACAGTCGGCTGCCTGCTAATTTTACGCAAAAACCACAACAATAATGTGTAAAAATAGTTTACAATTGCAATTGCGTGTGCGTGTGTATGAGCGTTCATGTGTGGGTGCGTAGTAGGATGAGCCTGTGTGTGTGCAATTTTTTCCGGCAGGCGAAAATCTCTCCATTTGCAACACTGAAAAATCGATAAAACTGCAGCAAGACTTTTTTGGTGTAGATTTCACTAGCCAAAAAAATAAAAAGATATATAAATACTTCGATTTTTCCTAACCGTTTCCCCCTTTCTCTTTTTTCATTCCACAGCTTTTGTAACTAAAACTCCGTTTTGACATCACTTTCATCATAATCTGAATAAAAATAATAATAATAAAAAATACAACAAAAAATATGATATAAAAAAATAAAAAAAACACCATCGAAAACCAATCAAAAATAATACATGCAAAATATAAACCGCAAATAATTGAAAGTTACAGCAAAAATATATAAAAAAAGAAACAACAACTACATAGCTCAAAAGGAAAAAGTCAAAGCAAAAACTTTTAAGTTTTTTGGACTCTTTGTTTTTGTTTCGTTTGCTTTGCAAAGAAAAAAACACAAAACGGAAAAAACGAGAATTTTTACGCCGCCCGTGGGTGTGAGCGAGGCAGACAGAGAAAGAGAGGGAGATAAAGCGACTGCGCAAATAAAATTAAAACAAAACAAGAAAAAACAAGCCAAGCTTGAAACGAAGACTTTCAAATAAAACAACAACAAAACCAACAACAACAACAAACCAAACAAATTGAAACGCTGTGAAATTAACTCGTCAATACTCAAAAGCACCAACAAAAAAATAATAAAAGAAAAGCAAAAAATAAAAGAAAAACTACGGAGGAACAAGTAAAGCAGAGTTGTAAACAAAAACGGCAAAAAGCACTGAAAACAAAAAAATAAACCGAAAAAACTAACGGATAAGTAAAGGCAACGGCGCTGCGGCGTTCGGACTCTCGAATAAAAAAACCAAACTGAAAAAAACAAACTTGAAAAAAACGCTAAATCAATCCCAAAATTCCTCATTATTTTTCCTGAAAAGCTTTAATTTAATTACGAATTTTTTGTTGTTAAGTCAAAGTGAATTCAATTTGCTAAATAATTTAAATTAAGACAACAACAACAGCAACCGAGCTACAAAAGCAGCAGCAACAACAAACAACCAACCAACAACAAACAACTGAATTAATGTTTTAAAGTACAAAAGAACCGGGAGTAAATCAACAACAAATAATTTAAACATATTAAAAACGATTTAATTTAAAACGCAACATCAATCTAAATTATTTAACAAACAAAAAACACTGCTAGAGTTTAAGACATAAAAAAGAAGGAAAACTGATAAAGCCCCAAAAGGGCAAAAAGGAAGTGAGAGACAGAGAGATAAATAGAAGGAGTAACAAGAAAAGCAGAATAAAACCGATTAAGCAACAATTGTGCCGCAAAAAAGTGTGAATAAAAAATATATACTAAAAAAAAAACAACGGTAACAATAAAGAAAACATTTAAAACCAAAAATCTACAAGAATTCTATAAGTTTTAAGTCACGTTTTACACAGACCTACAACAACAACACCAGCAATTTAACTTAGCCAATAAAATTAAATAAAAATAATAAAATAGTGAAAAATAGACAGATTAAGAAAATATATAGAGAACGAGTAACAAATTCAAAACTGCGGCCTTGTGCCCGAGAAACAGTTTTTATTTTTTTCAACAAAACATTGTTTTTACTAGTTTTCAATTAAATTTTTTTATAAGTGTACCTAGTGAGAAATGTTAAAAGTCTAAAACAGCAAAAGCAACTGCAACAAACGGAAGTAAAACGGAGAAAATAAAAACAAAACAAATTCAAAGAAAGATTTAACAACTCTGTGATAATTACTGTAAATTTATAAATTTAAATAATTAAAAAAGAAAAACGTAAAGAAAAACTACAAAAAAATCTCTAATGGAATGAAAGGAAAAACCCGTAATTTTTAAAAATAGGCGAAGAAGGAGCAAGAGGTAGCAGAGAACAGAAAAACATCTTAAACCAACAACAACAACTTTACACTTAAGAGCAAATGCAAATGAAAAGATAAAAACATTGAAACAAATTCGTGATATCTTAAAGGACTTCGATACATATATACTATAGTATATTATATATTATATTATATAAACTATTAAACTAAGCTTAAATCTAGTAAGCGAGAACAGAGAAAACAAAGCAAAGGAATAAGTGAAAAAAAACAAAACCAACCAACACAAAGCAAAAATAAAAACCCTAGGTTATAAAAAGACTTCAAAACGCATTCAAAAAATATATATATTTAAACAAACAAAATAAACCGTAGGCTTAAAGTTCAACATAGTAAATGAGCGAGGATAACTCCACATAACGGGTGTCCTATATCTATTATATATGAAAAACAAAAACCTTAAAACTCATAATTTTTGCTTAGTGAATAGTAAATGAAACAGCAATAAAACCGTAACAAAAAAAGAAAAAAAAAACAAATTATACAAATTGTGCAACCGAAAAGTAATAGCAACGTACAGCGAAAAAAAAATAGAAAATCGAGAAACAGAGGAAGAAAAGCGACAGAGAGCGGAACCGGTAACGGAAGTCCCGAGAGGAAGAAGCTGAAGGAGAATCGAACCTCGTCCCCAAAAATCATCGTTGTACTAAGGGTATTCGAAAGTAAATTAAAATAAATCACTACTACTTCCTATAAACCACAACGATTGCCTACAAAATATATATTATATATATGTATACTATATAGAAAACAAAAACAATATAATCAAGCAAAAAACAAAATATTCAAATATCAAACAAAAGCTAATCTACCCAAAAGTAAAAAGTATTCCCAGTGTATTTTTCTAGTAAAACTAAAGTAAAAATATAAAAAAAAAATCATTTCAAACAAAATGCAATAATTCAGTAATAATTTAGAACTCAAACAAAAACAAAACAAAAAACACCAACGGCAGCAGCTGTTATGCATTTTCATCGTAAAACAACAATATTTTGAATACACAAAACGAGTAAAAAATATTAAAAAAAAAAAACAACTTTAAAAACAAAACATACAACAGACCCAGGAAGGAACTTCAAACTACCAAAACAAACCAACAACGTTACAATATTTGTCGGCATTTTTTACAAAACAAAAAACACACAACAAGGAACACAAAAATAAACCAATAGCAGCAAAGGAAAGCAAGAACAACAATTTTTTGCCGGGGCATGCCCTCAAGAAAAGACAAAAATTTTTATTAACTTCGAAGACAAGGAATTTCAGTGCCTCTTGTGCCAGTGTTTAGCCAAAATATATATACACAAAAAACAAAACAAACGAAAAAATAAAAACAAATACGTATTTATTGCTTAGTTTTTTCTCTTTGATATAAAAAATACACGGAAAACCACAAAAATAAAAATTTAACATTAAAATACCCGTATAAAGCAAACAAAAGTGAGATCAATAAATCTGTTTTCGGTAATTTTTTTCGCGCTTTCTCTAACTTCGACTCTCGTTCCAATTGTTCTCGTCATTCGAATCCATTATCGGGTTTTCGGGTTATACCGCTGACCGCCCAATACCTAAACAATCGCAATCACTATCGCCAAGAACCAGTCTCCAATTTGCTAGTCCTTATCAGCATTTTTATTTGTTTGTTAATATCCTATCAATCAATTCAACATGAATACGCAATCGAAGGTGTACCGCACTGGCGAAGGTGAGTGGGGAACTGGGTCTTTTATTTACAAA